AAAAGCACTGGCATGTGTTTGGGGCTTTCTAACCACAGCTTCAGGTTGTCCTTCCTGAATGGATGACAGTCTGCAAGTGCCAGCGCAGGAGGAGCCCCGGCCAGCTGGGCATGGCTGAGCTCACGTGGAGCCTGCAATGGCTTTTTCTTCCCTTGTCCCCAAGCTGAGCCCCCTCACAAAGCAGTGGGGTTCCCACAGAGCATGGAGCCCTGGCGGGGAGCCCAGATGCTCAGGTCCAAGTCCTGGCCCTTTGGTAACAAGTGACCTGAGGCCTGTCACTGCCTCTCTTGGGGCCTCAGTTCCCCATCTGAAGCAGACCTGGTGCTCTGATTCTGGGGAGGTGATGAGATCAGTCCGTGTCCCTGCCCTGCCCCTCCTGGCTTCCAGCCCGCCCCCTCCACTGTCTCAGACTGCTCCTTCTCGGCCGTAAGTGGCAGGAACAGCACACACTGGCTCAAGCAGCTGCTCACTGCGCTTGGCCATGCACATCCAGGTACCTCTCCCACCAACCTGCCCAAGAACTGTGACCTAGAGGGTGGCCACAGCGTCCTGTGTCCCATACCTGATGGGCGTCCCCCTCTGTTGCAGCACAGCATTTTAGTAGGGGAGCTTCAGACACTGTGACTGGGGGTATGAACTGGTACTATATCCTTTAGTCTGTCGGTATCAGTCCCTTTGCTCCACGTGATGGGAAGAGGGTGGCACCTTGGGTGATGGGGGACAGCTGGATGAGGGCCAGAGCTGGGAGGAAGGAGGGGAGACTGACACAAGCCTCACCTTTGGGAGTTAGTCACCGCCCCCTGGCTGCGGAAAGAGTTGCCACACACTAGGGTGGGGGAGGGGAGGAGGGCATTTTCCTGGGTTCTAGAAGGTGGTCCCAGGGCAGGCTGGGCTACTAAAGGGGACGTTCCTATGGAGCCCACCATCCCGACAGCTTTTTGGAACTCCTACCATGTGGCTGGCTCTGTGCTCAGCCCTGCAAGGGGACAGGGAAGAGGACACTGCTCTCTGGGGGAGGAACCTGTGCTCTGGGATCATGGTGGCAGTGGTGCAGTGTCCTGGCTCAGAGCACCCAGGACCTGGCTCGAGTCCTGCCTCTGCCACTCATTGGCTCTGAGGTTTGGCAGGTTGTTGAACCTCTCTGGGCCCCAATTTCCCTGGTGAGGGCACAGGGAAATGACCTGTGTAATGTGTCTGGCACTTAGTGGCCACCTGGTTGGTCAGAGGCAAGAGGGAGCCAGCCCAGCCCTCCCATCTGGAAGCCAGGACTCCCACTGCAGTGACACACACCGTTCACACGACCTTTCCCGTCCACCTGAGCCTCCCTCTGTCGCTGTGAGGTGGACAGGGTAGACCTGAGAGCTCCCTTTCTGCAGACCCTTAAGAGGCCCAGGGGTCGTCCAGTGCCACACAGTTAGTGCTGACAGTGGCCTGCAACTGTGGGGACTGGCCGGGTGAGCCTGCCACCTGCTCACAGGCGAAGGAGTGGCAGTGGGGCCGGGACAGGCCTGGGCTCTGAGCCATACAGGTCCCCCTCTCCAGCCACTGAAGCCTGCGGCTCTGGCTCCAACCCACTCGATGCTGGCCAGGAACAACGGCCCTGGGTCTGGCCAAGGGAGCAGGACAGCTCTTCAGCAGTGGGCAGACGGGGTAGCCGGCCCCTCCGGCTTCCTTTCAGCCCCTTGAGGAATTGAAGCCTCTGTGCTCTGTCTTCCTAGATGTGCAAAGGCAGGGCCATAAAGGCCTCCCAGCGCGGGCCAGGCTCCCCTGTGACAAGCTCCACATCCCATCCTTGAGCAGGTGGTTTCTTTGTTCCTTGAAGGTCTTGACCCCTCCAATAGCCTTGGCTGCTATTGATTTTCTCAAATCTACAAAGATCCCAGCCGGGGTGCTCGGGGCCTCCACAGGGCCCTGAAAAGGAGGTCAAGGGAGAGTGGGGGCGGGAGGGGCCTCCCTCTCTGTGTGTTTCTCACTCCCACGCTGGGTCTGTCTTCCTGCCTTTGCTCATCCACAAGCATTGCTGAGCAACTGCTGTTTGCCGGGCGCAGAGTTGTGCTACAAGGCACGAAGCAAGAACTTCGGAGGAGACAGTTTTGAGGTTTTCGTGTATAAAAAGGTAGGGCCAAAAAATGTCATAACTGCTGATGTCTGGTACAAAATATTACATGCAAGTGTCCCCCTGCGGGCAGCTCAGAGCCTCACCCCACCCCTGCAGCTCCCCAACTGCCAGCCCCAGGCCTTCAGTGAGTGAATATATTTTGCATGTTACTTTGTATTAATAGTAGGTAGTAATTTAGTCTACATGGGTTGGCGAAGTGGCTCACGCCTGTAATCCTAGCACTTTGGGAGGCTGAGGCTCAGGAGTTCGAGACCAGCCTGAGCAAGAGCGAGACCCCCATCTCTACAAAAAATAAAAAAAAATTAGCCAGCTGTGGCAGTGTGCACCTGTAGTCCCAGCTACTTGGAAGGCTAAGGCAGGAAGATCACTTGCACCCAGGAGTTTGAGGTTACAGTGAGCTATGAGCCATTGCACTCTAGCTGGGGCAAACAGAGCAAGAGCAAGACCCTGTCTCAAAACAAAACAAAAAAACCAAACCCAAACAAAAATGATTCAGTCCAGATCGGTGTGTTGGTTCTGGGAAACCACAGCCCCGTTCCTGAGCCCCAGGTCCAGTTGGCGAGATGAGAGGAGCTGGCTCATGAGCCCAGTGTGGACAACAGGGCACGAGTTAGTGCCTGAAACAGCCACGGGCCCTGTCCCTGTGGCTTTGGGGAAGCGTGCAGGGACGTGTGAGGACTTGATTGAGGCCTGCCTGGAAGAAAGGGTGGGATTTGTGGAGGAGGAGGTGGGGAAACATTTTTGGGTGAAAGGAAGGCTTTGAACCAAGGTTCAGAGGTAGACAAGAGCCCAGAGCCTTTGGAACAGCAAGGGGGCTGTCGTGGGCTTTGTGTTGGGGTAAAGGGCTAGGGTTGTGGATGGGGATCAGGCCTGGAAAGCCTAGAGGTGAGACCATGGAGGCTGGGCTGTCCCCAAGGGGTTGCAGGGGTTGCAGGGAAGATTTCTGATATGGTCTGTTTATAATGAGCAAAGAGTCCCTAAAGTGGCCCAGGCAGGGCCGGGGTGGGGCTTCCTTTCATCTCTTGGCCTCTGTCCTCTGACTGCAGACTCTGCCACCACCAGCAACTCCAAGAGTGCTTTCTTCTGATGGACAACCTGTCTTCCCTCTAAGTCCTGCTCAAATGCCTCCACCACCAGGAAGCCCCCTCTGGTTTCCTCCCTACTCTTGGCTTGCATCTGTCCCGTGGCAGGAAGGGAGTAGAGTATGGTGGCCACAGGCCAGGGGGTCAGGCAGGCTGGCTTCAATTCTCAGCTCCACTGGCTTTCTGGTCTTGGGCCAGCCACTGAACCTCCCCAAGTCTCTTTCATCATCTGTTAAGTGGGTCTAAAATGACACCTCTCATGGGGCCTGCACAGTGCTTAACGCATTGCCTTCCACTTAAAAACAGAAATTGCACAACATCGGGCTTGTTTATGCCTATCTATTCTGTATTTCCTTTATCCTTAGGTACATATATTTTATATTTATGAAATCAGGATTAAATGTAGAATCGGTGGGCAAGAACCTTTAATTAAATTGCTGGTTGGATTGCCATTCATGGCGTCTTGACTGGAGGAACATGGTCTTCTAGGGGTGCTCACATTCTGCTTTCGGGTTTGACTTGGCTGGGCCCGCCCCTCTCTCCCACTGCACTGCAGGGATGGCATCTTTTCTGGGTCCCTCCACACCCAGCACAGGTCCTGGCCAGGCAAAGGCACCAGATGTTTGCTGGGCCACATTCTGGGAAGGACTTGCCCTATCAGTGTCAAGGACGCAGGACCAGGAAAAACACTGTCATTTGATTCCCTGTCGCATGTTCGCTGGAGCTCCCTGCCGGTTCCGTCTAACTCAGGCCAGGACTCTAGCATGCCTGCTGTGAGCCTTGGGCAAATCCCCCTCTCTTTTCTGAGCTGTCATTTTTTGGGTGGGGTGACACTAGGGGCTGCAGATGTGGCTGCTGACACCTCAGGGGGCTCTGCCACTGCTTTCCAAGGTTCAAATCAGCATGGACTGCCCACTGGGCTTGGAGGAAAGGGCCTCATGCAGGTTTATATTCTACATTCTGCTGCTTCACAGGGAATAGGGGCCCCCCTAAGCCTGCCTCTACCCCTTTAGGGAGACCCTGGGCACAGGGAAGCCCCCCAGAACACCCTGGTATGGCAAGGCCTTCAGAAAGAGGCACCTAAAAATCCCTTCTAGGCCAGGCGTGGTGGCTCACGCCTATAATCCTAGCACTCTGGGAGTCCGAGGTGGGAGGATGGTTGGAGTTCAGGAGTTCGAGACCAGCCTGAGCAAGAGCAAGACCCCGTCTCTACTAAAAATAGAAAGAAATCAGCTGGACAAATAAAAATATATAGAAAAAATATTAGCCGGGCATGGTGGCACATGCCTGTAGTCCCAGCTACTTGGGAGGCTGAGGCAGGAGGATCGCTTGAGCCCAGGAGTTTGAGGTTGCTGTGAGCTAGGCTGACTCTAGCCCAGCACTCTAGACAGCACTCTAACCCAGGCAACAGAGTGAGACTGTGTCTCAAAAAAAAAAAAAAAAAAGGAAAAGGAAAAAAAAGAAAAAAAATCCCTTCTAATTTTCCTTCCTTTCTCCTTAGGGTTCAAATTCAGAATATCTGAGCTGGAGGAGGCATGGCTGCGGAGCCACAAGCAGGGGTCAGGAGCACAAGAAAAACCCAACTCCCAGGCTGGCCCTTGCACCTCAGCCCTGGCTGGGCCTTGGGGCTTAGACCCTGACTCTCTGCCAGGGGCCATCAAACACCTTTCTCCAGCCCCCACCAGTCCTCCAGGGGTTGGCTGCCGGCCTGCAAGGGTCATCCTGTGGTCCTGACCCTCTCCCAGCCTGCACAACAGCCTGCACAACAACCCACACCCACACACACACACACGTGGATATACACCTGAGAGAGCATTAGGTTTATTTCTAGTTAGGATAAATTCCTGGGGAGATGGGTGGTGCCACTATATGCCCTCTGTCCGGCCAGGGCACCTGAGGTGGCACAGTCCAGCAGCCTGGAGGTCAGCCTCCTTTCCACAGATTAATGCCAGGGGGTCAGGTAGTTGACATGACTGTGGAGAGAAATAGGAGTGAGGTAGAGGCTGTATTTCTCTAGGCCTTCCCCTCAAACCCATCTTCCTGCCCTCAAGACTCTGAAAACACAGCTTCCATCCAGCCTGTGTGGCTCTAGAGCCTTCAATGGCTCCCTATTTTCTTTTATATATTTTCAGCTGTTCTCCTTAGCTTTCAAGCCCCCTCCACTTTGAGTTGGCCTTACCCTTCCTTCCCACTGACCCCCAACTGTGAACTGCTTCCCCCACTTTTCAGTGATTCACTGAACCTACTCTGTTAGGCAGCACACAGTAGTAAAACCCAGAAGCCTTTTTCTGTGTGTGCATGAGGAGGGGGAAGGCAACTTCCCTCAACAATGAGAGTGCAGTGGTCTGAGTGCTATAAGATAGGGCCCCATAGGTGGTGACCAAGGGATGTCAGCTGGTGGGAAGAGGCAGGGGGTTAGGGAAGACTTCAAGGAGGACGGGACATCTGGGCTGGGCTTTGAAGAGCAAGGAGGAGTTTTCCAGGCGGAGGAGGAAAGGGCATCTAGGAGCTGGAACAGAGGGGCAGAGGTGTGAGGGAGTGCTTGGTGGTGCTGCTGGGCTTGGGTGGCACCAGGAGTCTGGTATTGCTGAAGGGTACGAAGCGGGGCTGGAGAGGTGGGAGAAGGTCCAGTTATGAAGATGTTTGAATATCTTTGTACCCCGCCCCTCATTCTCATCCCCATCTTCAAGTCTTTATTTGTGGGGTGACCCTGCTGGGAACAGCAGCCCCCTCCCTTAGGACTAGATCCTAGGGGGCATATCCTTGGCTTTCTCCTTCCGGGTAACGCCCCCTTCCTTTTGGCTTCCTCTGGGCCAAACCTGGTGGGACGTGCACCCCCTCCCACTCTCACCCCAACCCACGCCCAGTGGGCAGCGCAGTCGCCAGATGCGGATGTGTCGGGAGCAAAGCGGCTCGCCCCTGACATCTCCCGGGAGGGCGCCTCCTCCCTCGCCAGGCGTCGCGCGTGGGGCGGGGGTCTGAGAATCGGCTGAGCCGGAGACTGCCCGGCGCGGCCCGACGGGGGCGTGACCGGCTGCGCCGCGGGGGCGTGGCCGGCTACCGCTCGGGGGCGTGGCCGGCTGCATCGCGGGGGCGTGGCCGGCTACCGCTCAGGGGCGTGGCCGGCTGCCGCTCGGGGGCGTGGCCGACAGCGGAGCCGGGGCGCGGCCCGACAGGGGCATGGCCGGCTGCGCCCTCACCGTGACCCACCCTTACCTGTAGTGGGAGCTGAAGCGGCGGAAGGTATTCCTAGGAAAGAACGAGGTGGGTGTCCGAGGTGGGAAGGGCGCCTCTCCCAGGGTCTCACTCCCACCTTGGGAGCCAGCCCCTGCCCGCCATCCCACCTGAAGGATTACACTGCACCTTCACTCCACCTTAACGCCTCCACTGCGAAAGGGTGGAGTTGTCAGGGACTGGATGATAAGGTGCACCGTTTGGTAGGAATTAAACATTTATTCATTTTGAAATTGCAACTCTCTTGCGGTGTATGGGAGCCGATCAATTTCTCCCGGGTCTCACGTTTCCGGGGGTCCCAGTGTGCACCAGGAAAGCGGCAACGACCCCGCCCTGCCTCCCACGGGGCCGCCAGGCGCGCGGCGTCACTTACAAGGACTCAAAAGGCATGGGCTTCTGTCCGTAGCGGTCCAGGCTGGGGTTCCGGTTGAGGCAGTACTGGGGCGGGTCGCAGGGACGGGCGGCCGGTGAGCGGGGAAGCAAGGAGCCCCTGCCGTCCACGCCCCACACAGCGCTCCCTCTGGACATCTCGGCCCGGGCACAGGGAGACCCTGCTCTCGGTCCCCTCCCTCCCCACCGCGACCCCCGGGGACCGGCCAGTGCGCGGCCCTACCCGCCAGCTCTGGGTCACTTCGGGCTTCAAGTACCGCACCGCGTAGCCGCTGAAACCCTCGACTGCAGAGAGAGCGCCTACTCTCAGGCGCCGACCCGCTCCAGACAAGCCCCGCCCCAGGCCCCGCCCCAGGCCGGCCCCGCCCACACCTGCTTCCGGAACAGGCCCCGCCCCCACGTCGCGCCGGCCAAGGCCCCGCCCCCAGGCCCTGCCCGGCGGCAAGTTCCAGAACCAGCGCCGCCCTCAGCCCCCGCCCCAAGGCGGCTCCACCTGGCCGGCCCCGGCCCGCCTCCTCCCAGGACGAGCCCCGCCCCCAGGGCCCCCGCCGGGCTCCGTCCCGGGGACTGTAAGTGCCCGGGCCGCTCCCCGCCCGCCGCCCGGTCCCTGCGGAGCCCGCAGGCCTCGCTCCCGCCCCGGCCCGCGGCCCGGCTGCGCGCCGTCTCCCCGCCCTGGGCGCCCCGCGCGCGGCGCACTGACCCCTCTTGTTTAGGCAGGGTAACTTGAACTCCCCGGCCGAGGACACCAGGCGGGACCAGTCCTCAATGGCGCGCGTGAAGCAGGGCCAGTCGACGCGGTTGATGCCCGGCGCCAGGGGCGCCAGCTTCCCCTCGCAGTACCTGCGGCGGAGCTTCCGGCCGGTCGCCGTGATGTCCTGCCGGGCAGTGCGGGTCGGCGCTGTCTGGCTGTCCCTGGGGGCCGTCCCAGCCCACCCCTACGCCTGAGCCCCACCGGCCCCTCTGACCCATGGGGTGCCCAAAGCTGGGAACCAGGATGGTAGCAGTGGGGGATACCAGCAGGGGGTGGTAGCAGTGGGGCCCCCAAATGGGCAGCTGAGGAGGTGCTCAGGGAGGAGTTTGGGTGCAGGCTGGTTCCTCTTAGGAAACCCAGGGGCCACGGGCCAGGGGCAAAGGACACTCACCAAGCACTGCAGGGGTTTGTTGGGGACCCCAAGGAGCGTGAAATGGGCGTTGTCAAACTCATCTATTGAAAGAAGAGAAAGAGAGAAGAGATATCTCGTCCACCAGGGCTCACAGGTGCACACAGGAGAGATTGGGCCCACACTGTGCTTTAAAAACTTTTTGAAATATCTGATGCCTGGTAAAAATTTAAGGTAAGATAGTATCCATGTATCACTCCTTACAACAGAATAAATTCCAAAGAGATCAAAGATTTCAATGGAAAAAAAAAAATGAAACCAGGGCTGGCGGGCGTGGTGGCTCACACCTGTAATCCTAGCACTCTGGGAGGACGAGGTGGGCGGATCACTCAAGGTCAGGAGTTCGAAACCAGCCTGATCAAGAGCGAGATGAGATCCCCGTCTCTACTTAAAATAGAAAGAAATTAATTGACCAACTAAAAATATATATACAAAAAACTAGCCGGGCAGGGTGGCGCGTGCCTGTAGTCCCAGCTACTCGGGAGGCTGAGGCAGGAGGATCGCTTGAGCCCAGGAGTTTGAGGTTGCTGTGAGCTAGGCTGATGCCATCGCACTCACTCTAGCCTGGGCAACAAAGTGAGACTCTGTCTCAAAAAAAAAAAAAAAAAAATGAAACCACAGAGGTACTAGAAGAAAACATGGGCAAATTCCTTTATAATCTTGGGGTGGGGACTGCCTTAATAACTCTAATGAAAAATCTAGACACCTTAAGGAAAAGATCAATAACTTTGGATACAGAAGAATAAACTTCTACATGGCAAAAAACATAAAAGAAGTCAAAAGACAAATGGAAAAAAATTTCCACTTATTTTACAGATGAGAGGCAATTTCCCTAATACTGAAAGAACACCTAGAAATCAACACCAAAAAGAAAAAGAAAGAAAAAAGAAAAAAGAAAAGAAAAAGAAAAACAGGTAACAACATGCATAGGTAGTTCACACAACAAACACAAGACATATAAATGGTCCCTAAACATATGAAAAGATGTTCACCCTCATTTATAAAATGAATATGTATTCAAACTACATTACAATATCAATTTTCGCCTATCAGACTGGAAACAATCCAAAAGTTAATGCAGTTTTTGGAAATAGGGCCTTTTCATACATTGCCAGAGTGGGTATAAATTGACTGGGCCTCAGGAGAGCAATTATCTATCAGAGCTATAAATATGTGCATGCCTTTGGACATCACAGTCCTACTTCTGGAAGTTCATCCCACTTTACAGTTGTACAAATGATGATGTGGGTGGAAGGTTACCCATTTTGGTGTTGTTTGTAATAGGAACTGACTGGAAACAACACAAGTGTGTGTCATTAAAGGATTGGATAATAAATTATACAACATCCTCACTAGGTAGCTATTAAGATAGATTGAAGAAGTTTTCTATACAGGACCTCTAAGATGCAGAAGAGTATATACCATATACTACTATTTATTTTATTTATTAATTTTTGAGACAGAGTCTCACTCTGTTGCCTGGGCTAGAGTGCCATGGTGTCAGCTTAGCTCACAGCAACCTCAAACTTCTGGGCTCAAGTGATTTCCTGCCTCAGCCCCCTGAGGAGCTGGGACTACAGGTGTGCACCACCACACCTGGCTGATTTTTTTTTTTAGTTGTCTGGCTAATTTCTTTCTATTTTTAGTCGAGATGGGGTCTCATTCTTGCTGACGCTGATCTCAAACTCTTGACCTCAAAGTGATCCTCCCGCCTTGGCTTCCCAGAGTGCTAGGATTACAGGTGCGCACGGCCACTACCATTTATTTTAGAACCTAAAACTTAACATTGGAGGCAGAGAAGAATATACATACAGGTCACCAACTTAACCAAATCATCAAACTTAGTGGGATAATGACATTATGGGCCTCCTGCTGCTGTATTATGGCAAACGTGGCATTTGTCACCTGTGAAAGATTCTGACCAGCAACCTGCCTAACCAAGCCTGTACACCTAGCTCTGGATTACAGAAAATAGATGAACAAGGTAGAGAATGCCACAAGGAAACAATCACTCACATTCACCATGGAAGATGGTTTACAACACAACTATGTGGGCCTCTTTAAAAAGTTAGGATCAGCTAGGCTCAGTGACTCACACCTATAATCCTAGCACTATGGGAGGCCGAGGCAGGAGGATCGCTTAAGCCCAGGAGTTTGAGGTTGCTGTGAGCTAGGCTGACACCACTGCGCTCTAGCCCAGGTGACAGAGTAACACCTTGTCTCAAAAAGAAAAAAGAAAAGAAAAGAAAAGCATCCATATTATGGCAGGGAATGGAAAATGGATGGGCTGTGTTAGACTAAGATGTAACAACCAATTGCAGTGTACAATCCTAGATTGAATCCTGGTTCCAAAATTTTTTTTTTTAAAGCTATTAAAGATATCTTTGAAGTAATTGGAGAGATTTTAATATGGTCTGGATAATAGATATTATGGAATTATTAACTTTCCTAGGTGTGATAACGGTATTGTGTCACGTAAGAAGCTGTTCTTGTCATTGGGAACTGCTTGCTAAAGTGTGTATGAACATGCAACGTGTGGTGTGTGTGTGTGTGTGTGAGAGAGAGAGAGAGAGAGAGGCATAAACTTGGCAAAAATCAGTTGAAGCAGGAGGAGGGTAATGGGTGCTCATAGTAATATTCTTTCAAGTTTTCTCTGTTTAAAAATGTTTATAATAAAAAATTGGGGAGCAAAAGAACATACGTTTGTATTTGTACTAGTAAACAATGGAGAGCTATATTAGAAACTACCAGTGGTTATCGGCAAGGGGGGCTGGGAGTGAGTCTTGCCACTGTGTATATTATTACAGCATTTTGAGTTTTGAAATTGTGATTCTATTACTTTTATTGAAAGCATGTGCTTACAATAAAATTCATATCTAAATCAGAACTTTCAATCCTAGCACTCTGGGAGGCCGAGGTGGGCAGATTGCTCAAGGTCAGGAGTTCGAAAGTAGCCTGAGCAAGAGTGAGACCCTGTCTCTACTAAAAATAGAAAGAAATTAATTGGCCAACTACAAATCTATAGAAAAAATTAGCCGGGCATGGTGGTGCATGCCTGTAGTCCCAGCTACTCAGGAGGCTGAGGCAGGAGGATGGCTTGAGCCCATGAGTTTGAGGTTGCTGTGAGCTAGGCTGACACCATGGCACTCTAGCCCAGGCAACAGAGTGAGACTCTGTCTCAAAAAAATAAAATAAATCAGAACTTTCCTTAAAAATCCACATTCCTGGCTTCTCTTGGAAACAGGAAGTTGGAAGAAGCGATGACTTTGCTGGCCCGTCCCACACAGCGAGGTCAGGGGGTCCCAGGGGCTGCCCCTTCAGACGGCAGGTGTGGGTGTCCACTGCTCCATCGGCCCTTCCTTCCCCACTCTTCCCCACCCGCTCCCCTAATTTGTGTTTACCATCGGGGGCCTCTGGTGATCTCCATGCAGCCTCTGACACCCTCACCCCGCCTGTCACCAAGCTGAGCCTAGATACAGCCGGCCCGGACTGCCCCTCTCCCCCTCCCTCCCTTGCCTTCAAAACCAACTCCTGTTGACTTTATCTCCTAAATACCTTCCAAATCCCCCCACAGCCAAGCTCCTCAGCACATGTGGGGTTACCCCCTGGTCCACAGGACCCTTTGGCACTTATTCAGGGGGCATGTGAGGAGGGTCTCTCCCTCCCTCTTCCAGACAGAGAGATGGTTGGGCAAAGTCGTCATTGTTGCTATTATTATGACTCCTACTGCTGCCCCCACCCGCCTCTGCCCAGTTCTCTCTCCAGCAGCATTTGTTGCGCACATACTATGTGCCAGGCACTGCTCTAAGTGCTCTTCATGCCTGGTCTCCCTTTAACCCTGCAAGAGCCCGGTGAGGCAGGGCCTGGCGTCTTGAGAACTTACGGATAAGCAACCAGGCTCAGACCTTGCCGAGGTTTCCTGGGCTGGGAGGAGCAGAGCGGGGCCTGGCTGCTTTAATCCCTCCATCTGCCCCGTGCAGCTTTTCCCCGATCTCTTTCCTGCGGACCACCCACCCCTTCCCCCAAGGCCCGAGGGGGATCCGGTGCTGGTGGCCTGACCTTTGCGGCAGTAGGTGGTGGTCTGGCAGTGCTCATCCGGCAGGCAGCCCTTGACGGTGTCTATGTCCATGCGGCGCAGGCTGGGCAGGGCTGGGTTGTAGAGCTGCTGCTTCACGCCGGCCAGCTGCCTGCGCCGCCGAGGCTCCAGCGAGAGTGGGATGGCTGGGCGGGTGCACAAGTGAGTGCAACTTTTGTCCCATGGCTCCAGGTCGAAGATGCGGGCCATCGCTGGGGAGTAGACGGCACTGAGGGGCCCGCCCTGGGCTTGTGCCAGCCAGACACCCTTTTATGCAGGAGCACAGCCTTGGCCAGTGCTGATTTGTTTGCTTGTCAAACACTTATTTATTTATTTTTTTTTGAGACAGAGTCTCACTTTGTTGCCCAGGCTAGAGTAAGTGCCGTGGCGTCAGCCTAGCTCACAGCAACCTCAATCTCCGGGGCTCAGCGATCCTACTGCCTCAGCCTCCCGAGTAGCTGGGACTACAGGCATGCGCCACCATGCCCGGCTAATTTTTTGTATGTATATTTTTAGTTGGTCAATTAATTTATTTCTATTTTTGGTAGAGACGGGGTCTCACTCAGGCTGGTTTCGAACTCCTGACCTTGAGCAATCCGCCTGCCTCGGCCTCCCAAAGTGCTAGGATTACAGGCGTGAGCCACCACGCCCGGCCTCAAACACTTATTGAGCACCTACTGTGTGCCAGGCCACATTTCAGGAGCTGGCACGGGGTGGCAGGAACACTCAGACAGCAGAGAGACGCCCCGCCAAACACATACGGGATGTGCTAGGGGTTGGGAGGGAGGTCAGTGCAAGGTGTGTGTCTGGGGGGGGGTTGGACATTCAGGGAATGGTCTAAAAGAGGTGGCATCTGAGCCTATTCTGAAATAATAAGCAGGAAGGGGCAGCAGAAGTGGGTTCAGAATGTAACTCAGTATGCTGTATGCCTGTGGGTGCATAATTGTGGACTTGTCTTAGCTAAGGTATCTGGTATTTCAAAATTCTGCAGAGAGACATAGGAAAGTTTTAAAGAAGGGGAGTGACATGATAGACTTGCCCTAGAAAAACATTGCTGGTTACCCAGTGCCTCCCTTAAAAAGTAGATGTTTCTCCAGGCACGGTGGCTCCTGCCTATAATTCTAGCACTCTGGGAGGCTGAGCGGGTGGATCGTTTGAGCTCAGAAGTTCAAGACCAGCCTGAGCAAGAGCGAAACCCCGTTTCTACTAAAAATAGAAATAAGTTAATTGGACAGCTAAAAATATTTAGCAAAAAAATTAGCAGGGCATGGTGGCACATGCCTGTACTCCCAGCTACTTGGGAGGCTGAGGCAGAAGGATTGCTAGAGCCCAGGAGTTTGAGGTTGCTGTGAGCTACTCACTCTAGCCTGGGCAACAAAGTGAGACTCTGTCTCAAAAAAAAAAAAAAAAAAGTAGATGTTTCTAAGAGTCTCTCAGTCATTTACACTTTAGTGAGAATTTGTTGGCTCAGCTTGCTTTCTTCCTGACCCTGAGTTAGAAGTCAAAAATGAAGGTAGGAGATAGGTGGGCAGGAGGACAGAGGGCCTTGTTCCCTGGAGGAACAGGGAGTAGGCATAGTGACAAGGCAGGGGGAAGCTGCCCAGAATGGGACTGCATGGGGTGGGGCAGGGAAGTGGAGCACAGAGAGCGGGGAGAGAGGGTTCCTGGCTTCTGACCCACCAACAGCGGCTAGCTCACCTTCAGGGAACAGGCCCAGGTGCACAGGGTTATGAGGACTTTCTGCTCTTTGACTGCTTAATGGGCAGAAGAGGCAGGGAGGCCAGGAGGCCGGGCCAGACCCCAGTGCCTTATAGACAGCAGCAGAATAAATAAGCATTGTGCAGTGACAATGCCCATTGCAGCCTGATTGTGAGGCTCCCACTCCTTGGCAACCTCGGCAGCCACAGGCTCTGAGAAGAGCCACTGCCAGAATCCTGTGCACTGGCCTTCCCGAAGGCTGTGGTTTCCCGGGCTTCAGCACAGGCCAGGCATCTTGGGAGATGGTGGACAGGGAGCTGGGGGGGCTCCCTGGAGGTGGCCACGCCCCGGGAGGCCAGGGATGGCTGCTGAGCCCACACCAGGCAGGCTGTGTGAGCCTGGCCCAGTCTCTGTCTGTCTCAGGGCCTCGAGGCTCCCCTCCGTGTTAGGCAAGGGCTCTAGCCCCCTGCATTAGGCGTGTCTGCCCTCCCTGAGAACCTCAGGGAAGGGGGCACTGCACTGTCTGCCAGCCCGTGGGTCTCTAGCGGGCGGAGATTAGCCGTGGCCAGTATCCAGGGTTTGCGTGAGGGGATCAGGGAGAGTGGTGGCCTCAGCAGGCCAGGGATTAGCAGGTGATACTCCACCCGGGCTGCCTGCAGGACGGCACGCTTCCTCCCTCCCTGGGAAGTCAGGCTGGGAGTGCCTGAGCCCAGCACCCCGAACCCCTGGGGCCTGCCCGCCACCCTGGTCACCACCATTAGAGACAGACCCCCGAGGTGAGGAGACCCTGGAGGAGCCAAACTTATTTGCCTATATTGGGTGTGCTTTGCATGTAGCTGCCCCGGTGCTGAGCCTAATCGGTCCTGTGAGATTCCTGCGGGATTCGGTCCCTTGGTTGCTCCTCCTCCAGTGCTCCGCACAGCTCCCAGAGCAGCAGCCGCGAGGCCTACCCCTACAGAAAACTTTCCCAGAGTCGACCCCACCCACCACCCCACCCCCAATTTGTTTTTTGACTCCTTAAAACTTATAAAACAGAAGAAAATATGAAACATACATAATATATAATGCTAACTAGAATAATAATTTATAAAGCAAGGTCCCACGTAACTACCCCCCAGGTCAAGACATGTGATTCGGGAGGCGAAGGTGGTGGCTTCTGGGGACTGGCAGGGCCCCATGTCTTGCTTTCTTTTATTAATTTAGCTGACATCTATTTTAAAAAATAGCTTTATGGGCCGGGCGCGGTGGCTCACGCCTGTAATCCTAGCTCTCTGGGAGGCCAAGGTAGGCGGATCGTTTGAGCTCAGGAGTTTGAAACCAACCTGAGGAAGAGGGAGACCCTGCCTCTACTAAAATAAATAAATAAAAATAAATACATAAATAAAAATAACTTTATGGAGGTATAATTTATATGCCATAAAATTTGCCCATTTTAAGTGTGCAGCTCAATGATTTTTTAGTGAATTGATGGAACTATGAAACTGTCCCACCGTCCCCCTATGCAAGGGGGGCCTGCTTTCCCACCTCATAGTATAACCGCTGCTTTTCTTTATGGTTTTTCTACCCACGGTTGCAGCCATAGGCGAGACAGGGTAATTTTGCCATTTGGGGACTTTGTATACATGGACCGCTGGGGCCTTTTGAATCTGGCTTCTCTCCCTGCGTGTATACGCACGTGAGATTCACTGTGTGGTGAAACCAAGGTGTGCGGCCGTGGCTCGTTCATTTTGCTCACCCTGAGCCCCTTACTCTTCTCCCAGGCCCCGAGCTCTGTGCTCCCTTCCCGCGCTGCAGCGCTCCAAGCCCGGGGAGCATCTTGACTACTCCTGGGCCTTGCACAGCCGCTGCCCTTGGCCTTCACCTTGTTTTCGCTCCCGGCAGTCCCTCAGCCTCCTCTGCTAGCTCCTGCTCTTGCCCCACCCTCTGGGTGGGCCAGAGTGTTCCAGGTGCCAGCTCTGGTCCTCCCCATCATTGACTTTGGATTCTCATGGTGATCTCAGTTGGTCCTGAGTCCTAAAGCATCATCTACAAGCTGATGCCTCCAAAATTTCTATCTCCAGTTCATGTCTCCCTACGCCACACACACACACACACACACACACACACACACGCACACACGCACACACACACACCCCACCCTTTAGCACCTACTGCTCATTGCTAGCTGGATCTAGATGTTTCTCAGACATGTTAACAAAGTCGAGTTCATGATTTTTCCCCCCAAAGCTTGTCCTCCCAACCTCCAGCCCCCGGGCCTCCCCTTTGCAGTAAATGTGCCACCAGCCACCCATTTGCCCAAGCTGAGCACCCTTTCCATCCCCTTTCACTTCTGTCTCTGCCGCCACCTGCCTAGTCCAAGCCCCGCCATCTCTCCCCCCCAGGCGGGAGGCAAGGGTGCGTGTCACCGATGACACAGGCTGTCACTCGCAGGCCCAGGCAGAGCGGAAGAGCTTGCTGGTCCCTGCAGGGGCCTGGCTGGAGGTGCCGTGGGGGGCACTCTCACCCGCTGCAGCCTGGCATATATCTGGTTGGGGGCAGGGCCCACTTTGAGCTTTGCCGTTGGCTTTGGTCTTGCTGGCAGAGAGAACATTCTTTCACGCCACTTGCCTCGGGGGAGGGGGGCTGCGTGTCAGAGGTCCTGCAGCCCAGCATTGGGGGAAGAGCTCAGGCATCATCCACTCACAAATTGGCTTGTCCCTTTGCAGCTTTCTGACCAGTTTCCTATTTCCACTCCTGCCCGCTACATGGTAGCCACATGAATCACGTCCAGCCCCTGTTCAAAACCATCATGGGCTTCCAGGGTCCATCAGCTAAACCCCAGACTCCCTCCTGTGGGCTAGAAGGCCCCACGTGAGCCAACCTGGTCCCCTCTGGGCCTCATCTCCCTCCACTCTCCCCCACACCTGCTGCACTCCAGGCCCCGGGGCCCCTTTCTGTTCTGTTAAGACCCATTCCAGCCACAGGACCTTGCACCCGTGCAGTGCCCTCTGCCTGGAGCACTGTGAGCCCGCGACTTTTCATACCCGAGTCTTTCTTGCTTTTCATGCCTCTGCTCCAATATTACATGTTTCTACTTCTTCATAGAGGCCTGCCTACCCACCTCCCTCCCCCTAGCACGTCTCTGCCCTTGTTTCTTTTATGGCATTTACATCATTTGCAGTATTTCTTTACTTGTCACTAGTCTTTTCTGTTGCTGCTCTCTCCTCAGTTGGAAGATAAGCTCCGTGAGGGCAGGGCCTATGCCTGTCTTGTTCAACACGCCAAGACTGGGAGGCTGCCGGGCGCATAGGAAGAGCTCTAGCAATGTTGCAGATCACCAAATCTATTCCCCACCCCTTTTCCGAACATCCCCTTCCTGCACCCTCACCCAGGCCCTGCCACCACGTGGAGCCCCCCTTCTCTGGGCCTCTGTCCCTTGCACCTCCTCCCCCTAGATCTCCATCCCCCTTCTAGCGTCCAACCTCAGTTCACAGGGCAAGTCAGATGCATCAGCCACCTGCCAGTCCTTACGTCCATCCTAAAGGCTCAGCCCTGGCAGAGCCCAAGTGACAGAACACTCTGAGCTACAGGGAACCTGCCTGAGCTCTGGCATTGGGGCTGGAGAGCTGCCACTGCTGAGAGTTGACAAGCCCCTGCCACCTTTAGGAGTCTCCAGGAATGACATGGGGACCCCAACTGCCACTCTGTGGCTTCCGCCTGCCACTCTGTGGCTTGGCGAAGGTGTGTGGGAAACTGGGTCCCTGGTACTTGGGGAGGTCCCCTGGCAACCCATGGTACCCCAAACCTGGGATCCACATCCCTGCTGGACACTGGGGGGTTGCTGCTTGTTCCCTGGACATCAGCCACCTCTTTTCCACCCTGCCCCCATTCGGCACCTGCTAATCCTTTGCACACGGCCCGGCTACTACCAATTAATCCCCCTTGGGTCTGAGAGGCCAGCTCCAAGTGGCAGCGAGAAGGCAATTGCTGGCTGGCAGTTGGCATCTGAGCAGGTAACTCACGATGAGGTAGAGGGTCGGTGGGACCCCTGGTGGGATCCCCATGTTCCCCCTCTAGCAAGGCCTTTGGGCAGGACGAAACAGACATGGAGGGAGGCCTGCGGCTTCCGTCTCCCCCTGGGAGCTCGACTTTAGCGTGCATCAGAATCTTCAGGGCAGCTTGTGACTTGTGAGTTCCAGTTCCCCCCAGAGGGTTTGGGGAGCCTAGGAATCTGTGTTTTCACCAGTTGCCTAGAAGATTCTGAAAACACGGGTGGTCCAACCCCTGGATCCCTGAGCTGCCACTGCCAGGTTCCCCTTCCCCTCTGAGTGTCCCTTATCAAAGTGGAGTCAGCAGGGACACGGCAGAAAGGTGGGAGGGACCTATATAAATCCCCATCCAGGAGGAAATGGCTGAGACTGGGGGGAGAAGAAAAATTGGGGGTGGGAGAGGCTTCCCATGGCATTTCCAGAAGGTTCCAAAATGCAAGCCTGTATGGCTGCCCGCTGGGAGAGGGTCTACAGGTTTGGCCTAGAGAAGAGGCCCACACTCAGCAAACGCCAGGACCACCCGGGGCTAGGTGTGGGGCAGACCCTGTGTGAACTTGGCCTGGCCCCTTGCTGGCCATGTCCCCTCAGGTGAGTCTGTTGACCTTTCTGTGCTCCGTGGTGACAACCCTTATTTCCCTGAGGGTGTGGGGTGTGGTGGTGAGAGCGAGGATGAGTGTGGCTGTGGGTGGAGAGCACGCAGCTCAGTTCTGGCTCTCGGGGCTGCCGGGGACCTGCTGGGGTCCGTGGAATCTGCCATCCCAACATGTGACCTTGGGCAGTCCTGATGTGGGAGATCACTGTGTCTACATCCCCCCACCCCCACAGGGAAAGGGAAGGCCAGAGGGGTCATGTCTGGCCCAAGTTCACTTTTTGGAGGCTGAGCCAGGGATCTGACACCCCACCCAGGACTCCGCCCCCACCACAGCCTCTCATGGGAGAAGCTGGGCTGCGGAGGCCAGAGCAGGGATGGAGGCCAGGGCTGTGAGCAGCAGGGCAGGGGTCCTGGGTCCTGGGGCCAGGGTCCCTGGCAGAGAGAGGCATGGAGGCTCTCTGCCAATGCCTGGGCTGCCTGTGGCTGGAGAGGGCTGGGGCACACCCGAGTTGGGCATGGCCTTGGAAGGGCCCAGCCAGGCCTGCAAGTTTGCACACGGTTACCTGTACGGTGCCCGCTGGACCAGGCCATCCTGCAGGGGTTCAGTCCTAAGAGCTGGGGCTCCCCATTCTCCACAGACAAATGAACCAGAAACTGAACCCATATAAGGTAGGACTGAACTATCACAGTAAACCATGAAAAGAGGTTTACCCGGCATTTTATCTTAAAAATTAAAAATCATGAGCATAGGTTAATTTTATATTAAGCAAAACAGATTTTCCATTCCTATGTTACTCATAATGTATGTTTTAAAATTTCTAATGTCATTACGTAGCACATGCATGATAGTTGATAATTATAGTGTTTTTACTTGACACTACTGTAATAGTCAGAGCCAACATTTATTAAACCCTCAGCACTTGGCAGTCACTGTTCTGAGTATGTTGCACTTATCAATTCATTTTATCCTCACAATTGACTCGTGAGGTAGATACTATTAATACCCCCATTTTACAGACAGGCAAACAGAGGCACAGAGAGTTCAACTGATCTGCTTATGACTTGACTCCAGAGCATGTATATCTTCTTGTGTTAGTTCAAATAGATTTGCTTCTTTCTTTTTAACGGCTCCATAATATTTCATTATTGCATGTGTTGTAATTTATTTAATATACGCCCCTCTTACACATGAACGCCCCTCTGGGTACTTTGCAACAACCAGTCTCCTCTTGATGGGTATTTGGGTGTTTTTCATCCTTTGCTATGTCATCATTTGCCATGTCATTGTTTTGCTATGTCATTTTTGCAACCAACCTCTTTATACACATGTTTGTATGGCCTTGAGTAATTCTATAAGGTAAATACCTAGAGATCTAATTGTAGAAATATTTCTAGAGATGTTGGGAAGAAAAGGAAATGCGCAACTTACAGAAGTGGCCCATAAATGGTGGCAGCTATTGCGAGCACTCTGGGGAGGTCAAAGGACGCTGTCTCTTACAGGCAAGAGGATGTTGGGCTGGGTCCAGAGGGTGCTGCCCCAGCCCCCGGGGCCCCCTCAGAAGACCAAGAATGAGGAAGAGGAGGAGGCAGAACCAGAGCCGGAGCCAGAGCCAGAGCCAGAGATAGAACCAGAGCCGGAGCCTGAAACAGCCCCGGAGGAGGCCGAGCCCACGGTGAGACGTGGAGGGCGAGGAGGGCAGGCTGGCCTTGCTGCTTGGGGACTTCCAGCCTGAGCCATCTGCTCCCCATGGGCCTTCTACAACAGCTGGAGCCAGAAGGACATGTGGCAGTCCCTGGTCCAGCACTCATACCAGTGGGGAAGCTCAGGCCCAGAGAGTGGACTGCCCAAGGCCAGCTTTTTCTATAAAAGGCTAGATAGTAAATATTTTAGGCTTTGTGGGTCATGCCATCTGTTAATTACTCAACTGTACCATTAGAGTGTGGAAACGGCTATAGACAATGCATACGCAAATGAGCATAGGTGTGTTCCAATAAAATTTTATTTACAAAAATAAGCAACAGCCTGTATTTGGCCCACAGGCCATATTTTGCCAGACTTTAGAGTCTAGAACAGAGCTACCCAAAGGAGGTGGTCCATGAACTGTTTGTTTCCAGTCCATGCTGAGATTAGGAGCTTGCACCAGAATGTAAATCTGCTATGCAACTAAGCACACTGCTAAGTTCAGTTGCTGTTAATGTTTGTTTTGCAGTAAGACTTTCTCGATGAAGGAAGCAGCGCACTGACATCCGTTCTGATGCGAACTGCTTAGTCATCATAGGCCAGTAACCGTTTGAAGAGCATTTCTCTAGAACTTTCCTTTGAGCACATCAGAACTTGCCACTTCTGCATTCTATCCATTCAGGAGCCTGATGGCAACTAATTGAGCAGCTCACTTCAACAGATTTGATTTAGTTTCTAATTGATGCCAGGCCCTGTGCTCAGTGCTGATGGCATAAAGATGAATAAGGCATCGCACCTGAGGATTAGCAGAAAAGTACTTTGGCAGTTCATTCTGCCGAGCAATGTAGGTGATGAGGGAGTATGGTGAGCTCCAACACTGACTTTGGCTTCACCCTCTGGGAGGGCCGTATTAGTGTCTCAGACAGCCAGCTACGGGGCTCAGGAGAGGGAGAGTCATCTTAACTTTGGAGATTGGAAGCTGGTGGGGCAGTGCTTCCTAGACACAGAGGGTAGAGCAGAGATGGAGGGAGACGGAGAGGTAGGGGCATTCCTGGCAGAGGAAAGGTCTTTGCTGGAGTAGTGCAGGGTGTGTTCAGGAAATAGGCATAAGGTTTCTCTGTATACACGTGTGTATGTACATATATGTATGTGGTATTCCTTTGTGGTATGTCTTTGTGCATACACATGCGCCTGCAAATTGGGTGTGCATGCCGATGTGTGTGTACACTTATATGTGCAAGTATGCATGTGCATGTGTGCGCACATATATGTTTATTATGTGCACATGTTTTAGTGTCTGTGGTTCCATGTGCACATAGGCATGCTACTGTGTATATATTAATGTTTCTGAGTATGTGAATATATTAATGTGTTTGTATGTGTATGCATGCGTTTGTGCATTTGTACATGTATTGTGTGTATGCACATATTTGCATGCTTCAAAATACGTGTATATACACATTATGTGTGTCTGTACATGTATGCTCATGCATAGGTTTAGATGCAGAAGTTTGTGTGCATGTGCATGCACACATGTACATATGCAAATGTTTGTATCTTACAAATATGCACATGTATGTATATATGCTTATGTTTATGTGACTGAATACATATGCATGTGCGTATACACATATTTCTGCATCTGTGTATATATGCAAATGTATCTATATGTATATGTACATGTTTTTGTGTCCCTATGCTGACAGGTATATGGATATGTGTGTCTGCATGCATGTGTGTATATGCACATGTTTGTATGTTCCTATACACATGTGCATGTGTGTTGGGGATATGCATGTATATATATGTGCAAATGTATATGTACACACATTCTGTGTCTGTACACATAGGCATGTGAGTGTACTTACACTCATGTGACTTACATTCACAGGCACTTGTTTTTGTCTGTGCATTTATATATACATTTGTGCATCACTGTATGTGTGCATGTGTATGTGTGTATATGCTCATATTTGTGCCTGCATGCATGTAAACATATGTGAGAGTGAGCATGTTCATATTGTGTGTGTATGTATGCATGTATGTGTTTGCACATGCATGTATGTGCATGCAGTAGCAGGAGGTATGGCTGCAGAGGCAGGTGAGAGGCAGAGAGAGAGGGTAGCTCCACCTGGCAGCTAGAGAGGAATGGAAAATTTGGGGCAGAAAGACAGGGAGGCTACTGGTTGGGCTGAGGGGATTGGGCTCTTCTCCCCCTCTAACCCCCCTTGCCCCAAGCCTTCACGACTATCTCTAACTGTTCCTCCTCTTCCCAGGCCATTAAAGTGGGGCAGTTTGCTGGGGGATGTGCTCGGCCTGGGAGGCCACCTTGAGGGGTGTGAGGGCCCCAGCCATGGATGAGGGGTTCCTGAGGCTGGGAGGAAAGGAGTGTCCCTGGTCAGAAGTGGAGGCCCCCAGGATTTACAAGGACAATTGTGAGAATAGAGCCGTTCAGTCCATTGAGGAGTGGGGTTCCTTCATGGGTGAATCAGGGTGTGCCCCTGTCTAAACCAGGGTGGTCTCACCTGGGCTTACATGGTCCTATTTGAATCCTTTAGCCTCCCGAAGAGCCACACAAAGAGGAGGAGGAAGTGGCTGAGGCTGACCCAAGCCCTCAAGGTGAGTGCTGGATGCCCAGGCTGGCAAAGCCTCGCAGTAGCCCACTTCAGGCCCATTTCACAGATGAGGAAACTGAGGATCAGAGAAGCTGAGGCTGGCTCCTAGAGACATTTCCGCTGAGCTGACCTGGAACCCTGTTCTTCTGACCCCTTGGGGTTCTCCCCTCCCCTCTGCCTCTGACTTGACCTCCCCAGCTGGGTAGCCATGGTCCTCTCTGAAGCTCTAGATCTAAAGTATGAGGGACTCTTTTCCAGAGACCCAGGAGGCTGTCCTTACTCCGCCCACATCCCTGCAGGCTCCAGTCACTGTGGTTCCTGGAGTGAACAGGTAACACCAGCCTCCCCTATCCTCAGGGCCAGCGCCCCCCACTTCCCTCCCTGCTAGGGAGCCCGGTGGGGTGGGGGATGGGCACTGCAGTCAGGTCTGTAGTCACTGAGGGCAAAGGCCCCGAGACGCCCCCAGGACATTCAGGGGGAGGGTGGGCGTCTCCTGGGGCAAATGGGCAATGTGACCAAGAGACACGGAGGGTGGTAGACACAGGAATGAGCACCCATCTACGGGTGCAGAAGTTTCCCGGTGCTTGGGGGAGGTGCAGGTCCAGCGTGCCAGAGCTTCTGAGTTTCCCAGAGAAGCCAGAAATCCAGGCTTTTGCATGGAATCTCCCAGGTGGCTCAGACATTTCAGACGGCGGGTGCCTGCCTTCCTGAGCCTGGCCGGGAGGGGCTGGCCTCAGCCAGTGGGTCTGTGGCCCTCGCATTTAGGCTGCCCAGCCCTAGCCGCCGGGTACACCCCTTGGAAGCCGGATGTGCGCCAAGTGCAGGCGGGGCCCCTGGAGCTGGCGGGAGGCGGGATGAGAGGGAGCCCTGGCCGCTGTGTCCTGAGCATGCCATAGGGCGGGCTCCTAGTGGCACCGGGCATACCTGGGCTCCCGGAGCCCTGGCATCCCCCATTTTCCGGAAGAGGACACGAGGGTTGGGGGAGGTGACAGGTCTAAGGTCTACAGCGGGGAAACAGTGGTTTGGGATCCAGCCACGTTCTTCAAGCACTGTGGGCTGCCTGCCACGAGGACCAGGGAGGGTGAGGGGAGCTGAGGGTGGGCTGGTCCCTCTGTCCATCTGCAGTCACAGCGGCCGGGTGCTGACCTGGCTCTGGAAGGGTGTGGAGAAGGTGGTCCCGCAGCCCGTCTACAGCAGGGAGGACCCGGCTCAGGTACTGCGGAGGGAGGGGGGGGAGGGGGGGGAGGGGCTGGGGAAGCCGTCCTGGGCCCCCTGCCCACGTCTGGCTGTCTGTCCCCGGCAGGTCCTTGGGCAGTGCGGCACTGGGGACGCAGGTAAGACCAAGAGGCGGGACGGCTTTTCAGGAGCAGGCAATGAGGGGCTTTTGGGGTGGGCCCTGCCCTCAGGGAGAGTCCACCCGAGCCGGGGCTTCTCATCTGAGCGGCCCTGGGTTCGAGTGGGCTCTTGGCGCCTGCTCCAGGCTGACCGGGCGCTCTGCGTGGTCTCTCGCTGCTGACTGCCTTTCTTTATTGTCCGTCCCTGCAGAGTGCACAGATGGACCCAATGAGGCCTCTGCAGCTGAGGACGCTGGGTGAGTCCCTGTCACTGAGTGTCACTGCCGTCTGTAGTGCGTGTGGTGGGAGGAGCAGGGTGCCCAGAGACCAGGGTCCTGGGTTCAGGAACGGGGCCTATTACCACCTCAGTGTGGGACCTTGAACGTGCCTCTCGTCTCTTCTGGACCTCAGTTTCCCCACCCATAGAATGGGGACAAGGGACCCTGTGCTGCCCTGGTTTGCTGTGCTGATTACTGGGAGATCCCTGGGCGGGGGCCACCCTCTGAGAAGGGGGAGAAGGCGTGGATGAGCCCCTCAGAGGCGTCATGTTGGCGGGCTCCGTGTGGAGCCTGGAAGCAAAGCTTGGACCACCGTGGGGACATTGGGGTGCCCAGCTTGGCTTCACAGTTGACAACAGCGTCTGACTCCGGAGAGCTGACTGAGGGGCCTCATGAGTGAGGGTGGCAGGCTGGGGGAAGGGCCCTATAGCAAGCGGGACCCGTGTCCTGCTCCAGGGAGGGGCCTGCTCGGTTCCAGCGTGTCTCGGCCTCACAGGAGTGCGGGCCAGCGTGGCCAGATCCTCCCGTTTTTCAAGACAAGCTAGAAATCCAGGATTTTATGTAAAAGCCTTAGCTTTCAGATGTTGCCAACTAGTCGAGAAGTTTTCAGGACACTGTGAACCTGCAAAGCAAGCCTGAAGTTTCCAGTTTGCAATTTCTGCTAGAATGCTCCATTCACGTCATTCCCATTGCTTCATTCCTTCACTCTTTCATTCATTAGACTGTTGAATCCTTGAGAACTGGGGCTTTTGTCCTGGTCACTGTTGAACCCCTGGTGCCCCGCACAGGGCCTGCAATAGGGTGGGGACCCAGCACGTGTGGGACAAACAAATGCATGAATGAATACATATATATATATATATAAGCACATTTTATTCAATCATTCATTCATTTCTCCAGCTCGCTCTCTTTCTTTCTGTTTCTTTTGGCCCACGATTTCTTTCTGAGGGCTGCTCAGCTAATTCCTGGGACCATTAACGTGATTTAGGATGAGGGCACCCAGAGGACGTGCCAGCTTTCTTTTGGGCCATACCTGGTGGGGACAGTTTGCCCTGGGAACAAGGAGCTTCCCTGAAGAGGGCGGGGCTTCCTGGAGGCCCGGCGGGTCTGGACCTTTGCCCCGAGGACCAGCTACATGTTAATAATTTGTGGGGCCCAGAGCAAAATGAAAATGCAGGGCCCCTTTAAAACATTTTTTAAAGAATTTTCAGACTGTGACAGCAGAGCATGACACCAGATACAGGCCCTGCTAAGATGGGACCTAGTGTTATTGCACAGGTCACACACGCATGAAGCCAGCCCTGTCTGTCCCAGTCACAGGCAGCCCCCACTCCTCACCTGCTGCCCCGGGAGGCCAAGGCTGGGCCTGTAGTTCCAGAGCCCGGCCCAGCCCTGGGTGAGGATTCGGGATTGGCAGGCTTCGAGGTGGGTAGAATTTCCCACCGCCTTGGGGCGCTTTGAGAGCATCCCGGACAAGCCCCCGCCTCACAGAATGGGAGCCGGGCAAGGAAGGGCAGGCTGAGGCCCGGCCCACCATGGGCAGGAAGGACAGTGTGGCTGGCCCGGTCCTTCAGGCCACTCAGCTGACCACCGGCCCCTCCACAGGAGTGGGCCATGGCTGCTCCGGTGGCTGGAACTGAACCTGGAGAAAGTGTTGCCGCAGCCCCCGAAAACCGCCGAGGTGAGTTGAGGAGGAGGAGGACGGGCCGGCCGCTGACCCCCTGGGAGCGTTTCTGGGACAGCAGGCTGTCCCCACCCGCAGGACCCACAGCGGAGATGATCTCCTCCTCGGAGATTCCTTGGTGGGGAGGAGTGACTGCGAGGGGGGGGTGCGGAGGGACACAGGGGAGGAAGAGAGTCCCTGCCACCAGCCTCAGGCCAGGGCACACTGGCCAGGTGGGGGAGTGCACAGGGCTGGCTTTGCCCTGTGACCCCACTGCCTGCTTATCCTCCAGGGCTGGAGAGAGGAGCCCACAGAGCCTGCCTCGGGCCCAGGTACGGGGAGGGGAGAGCGGGAGGGGCTGCCTGGGATGGTCGCAGGCTGGGCAGGGGTGGAATCTGGGGCCTGGGGGAGCCCAGGGGAGGCTCCTAGCCCTCACCCAGGCTGGGGAGGGGTTCAGGGCCAGCTGGGAGCAGGCCGTTATGGGGTGCACTGGGCCCCCTCCCCTGTCCAGGCTGGGAAACCAGAGGCCTGGGACAGACTTGTGCGGTCTTGGCCAAGTCCCTCCTGCTCCCCGGGTCTCAATTTCCATGACCATCTGGTCTATTTGATGAAGGGGCTTGTTAAGGTGGTCCCAATGAGCTCCCCGCTCAGTCGGCCATGTTAGCACCTCAAATGTGGCCCCCGTGCCCTGGCGGGGTTGGAGGCAGCCCTGCTGCGGCATCTTTAGCTCCTTGCTCTCCCCACTGCTTAGCGCCTCCAGAACCGCCCCCGGAAACAGAGCCCACGCCGCAGGCCCTGGAGAGCCCCTCTCTGCCCACGCCCGGCCCGCAGGAGCCCCAGGAGGAGCCGGCCCCCGAGCCCCAGCCTGGGTCCTCCCTGCCACCCACGGACCCTGCCAGGTGAGCCACCCCCGGTGCCACGCCCCCCACGGGGAGCCCCAGCCCAACACCCAACCTTCACAAAACTAGTTTTTAAAATTGTAAATGTAACACATGCACCTGGAAGAATAGTCGACCGGATTTCCAGGCCCCTTCCCGGGACAACCGCACCAGCAGCTCCTTGCCTTCCTCACATCTTCCGTGTCTGTAGCGCTCGTGAGTGTGTTTTTCTTTTCAAACACACAAGAGCAAACTAGATACTCTTCTGCATCTTTGGGCCGTGAAAGGCCCCAAATGCACTTGTGGGGTGGGGGGAGGACGGGGGAGCCCCAGCCACCAAGCAGTCGGCAGAGGCTCGTCTAGGATGGGTGAGGAGGAAGACATGGTCTTCAGCCTGGAGGACTGGCTCTGGCTTCCAGCAGGCTCTGCCTTTTGCTAGGCTTGTTATCTGCCGTGGGAGGGAGCTGACTCTGGCCTCAGTTTCCCCACAAGCCTTTCTACCTGGACACAGCCCACTCTCCCACCCACAGGTTGCTAGCCTGGGTCCTGCACAGGCTGGAGAGGGCCCTGCCGCAGCCGGTGCTCCACGGGAAAGCGGGGGAGCAGGTGAGTGCCGGGCCGGGGAGTGGGCCCCGGGGGGTCGGTAAGGGTGGGATGGCAGGCCTGTGTCCCTGTTGGTGAGGTACGGGGGCGGGGGGGAGAAGGGAGCTGCAGAGGGAGCCCAGCCCACACGGGCTGCCTGTCTACACAGCATGCGCTCACCCCACCCACGCTCTCTGAGGCACGGTGGCCACAGCGCTGGGACGTGCTGGCCCAGCCCCGCCTGCCAGGAGCTGTCCTCGGTGGGGAGGTGCTCCCATGGGGGGAGCAGAGAGGATGTGGGCTGCAGAGGTGGAGTCTTCAGGAGCATCAAGGAAGAAGGCTTCCTGGTGGGGGTGGCTTCCAAGCATGTACAAAGATGCAGAAACAAGAGAGACTAGAATGTTCTGGGAAGAAGCGGGGCTCTCACAGGAAGCCAGCAGGGCCTATGTGCATTCCTGACAGCCTGGGGTTCCAACCTGGGTGACCAGGGGAGTGGGGCCTCTGTCACCTTCTCCTCTCCTTCCCTAAGAACCTGGCCCTTCTTTCTTGGTGACAATTGGACATCTCCATAGAAGCACCTGAAACTGGGAGGCAGGAGGCCTAAATTTCAGTTCTGGCTGCGTGACCTTGGCCCTGGCCCTCTCAGAACCTCAGTTGTCCCACCTGAGAAATGGGCTAACAGTCCTCTGTTGCCACCCAGGACTGTGAGAATGTAGGAAAAGAGTTCTGTAAACACAGATGTCTAGGGCCAGAAGAGAGGGCCGTCTGGCCAGGTCCTGGACCTCTGGGTCACTCAGGGCCTCAGCTGGGCTCTCCTGAGCAGGTGGCCCTGCTGTGTCTGTCTGGGGGCACCCCCACCTTGCTAGGCTCTCAAAGCTGCCTTCCCCCCCGTTCTCTCACTGTCTCTGGGCACGGCAGGGACCCTCTTCTCCATTTCATGGGCAACTGAGGCTCAGCGAGGTGGGCCAAGTCCCATGGCTGGAGTCGGACCCAGGTCTGGGCTCCTGCAGCCTCATCCACCTGGCCCTGTCCCAGGGCTGGCAGTGGGAGGGAGGCCGCAGTGGAGGGGGCAGGAAGCCTCAGGACCCCTCCCTGCGGGCTGAGGCTTCAGGCTCCGTGTGCCCGCACTCTCTGCAGGTGGTGGAGGAAGTTCAGCTTAGAATTTCCCAGGGTAGAAAGGGGGCCTTGGGGCAGGGATGACGGTTGAGGAAGAAGCCTTCAAGAGAGGGGATCTGGGGATCTGGGGACCGGGGCGGGCAGGGGAGGCGTGGAGCTGGGAGCTTTGAGACCACCCTCCAGGGAAGGTGCCAGGCAGGGGCCAGCCAAGCAGCAGTCCTGGCGGGACAGGGGCCGGAGCGAGGGCGCACCTGGGGCAGGACAGCCAAGCAGCGAGAAGTGGGCTGAGGCCCTGGGGTCTTTGGCAGGTGTCACAGCAGGGGACAAGGAAGCCCCTCTTGCTCCTGCCTGTGCGGGGCTGGGGGTTGGAGCAGGGAGGGCAGCAAGGAGGCCACAGCAGCTTTTCCTTTTTTCTCCCCACGCAGGAGCCCGACTGCCCTGGGACATGTGACGTGCAGACCAGTGAGTGGCACATTAGCGGGTCTCTGTGCACATCTCTGGGAGGGTGGCTTGGTGGCCTGGGGTCTGAGCGCTCGCGGGCAGCGGGGCAGTCCCTGGCCAGCCCTGGAGTGACACAGGAGAGGGGCAGGGTCGGGGTCTCCTGGCCTGGAGCCAGAGAGCCTTGTGCTCTGCAGGCCCCGCCTCTGGTCACCCCCAACAGGTAGCCAGAGCCAGCCCAGAGCCAACCGGCGGCTGGAAGGCCTGCTGGGCCTGGCTTCTAGCTCCCTTCTATTCAGAGAAAACAGCCCAAGGCCAAGTCAGATGGGCCCCCCTTCCCGTGGGCAGCCCCTAGAGAGAGCTCGCCCCACTTCCCCCTGGCAGCGGGCAAGTGGGTTTGGCCAAGCAGGGTCCTGCTGAGGGGCCGAGGGACAAAGGGAAAGGGGCAGATTCCCCTGGAGGAACCAGACCCCACAGACCTCAGCTTCCTTGAGCTGGGCATCCCCCTCACCTGCAGCCAGGTGGGGCAGGCATGTGATACGTTTCATCCCAGCCCTGAGTCAGGACTGGGGACAGAGGACTGAGGCCAGGAAGGGACTAGAGGCAGAATCTGCTCTAACTTCTTTGCGTGGCCTCCAGAGAGGCACGCATTGGGCATTCATTCGTTTGTTTAACAAATAGTTACGGACGGCCTACTATGTGCCAGGCCTGTGATGGGTTCTAGCTGTGAGCAAAGCAGAGTTCAGGGCCTGTGGACAGCAGCCCTGTGACCGTGGGCCTCAGGATGTCCCAGGATCGCCACGCTGTCTGCAAGGCTGTGCCCAGCCCCCGCCCCACTGGGACAACGGATGCTGGTCTTTAGCAGCGCTCTGGACCTGGGTGGCCTCCGTGGCCTGGGACAGACAGGCTGGCCAACTGTGGCACTTGGGCCTAAGGCAGGGTCCCCGGGAGGCGTCCTGGTTTGTGGTAATTGTGACAATGTGAGGAGGAGGAGAGCCTGCCAGCTCAGAGCAGGGACACTCGGTCTCAAGGAGCTCCTGGCCGTCCTGGGGCGGACAGAACAGGGCCCCCATGGCCGTGGGGGCAGGCAGGGAGCAGAGCGCAGAGAACTGAAGAAACCCGCCCAAGGTCGCCCAGCACATCTTGTAGAGCGGTAACTAGAGTCCACCTGGCCCAGCAGCAGCTGCTCAGTCAGGCAAAGGTTAAAGGAACCAAAAATATTTCCCAGGCAGATACTTCCCGGGGCCACGCCTTGCTGTGAGGATGGGCGCCCAAGCCCGTCTGCTCCCGTGGAAGGAGCGCAGGTGCCCAGCCAGCTGTGGTCCTGTTCGAGAGCCGCATGGGTGGGCACCAGGTGGCCGTGGGGGCAGACTCAGCACGGGCCGGGAGCCCGCGTGCATTCGTCTCCGGGGGCTGCCAGACGGCAGAGATGGATTCCCTCACAATTCAAGAGCCAGAAGTGCAGATTCAGGGCGTTGGTAGGGTTGGTCCCTTCTGAGGCTCTGACGGGGACACCGTCCCCTGCCTCTGTCCCCACCCCGGCCCTGGCGGTGCTGGCAGTCCCTGGCAGTCCCGGGCTGTGCTCCAGCCCTTTCCAGTGTCTGCGCATCAGACCCTCCTCTCCTGTCTTTTATAAGGACGTCAGTCACTGGATTTAGGGCCCACCCTAAATCCGGGATGATCCCACTTAGAGATCCTTAACGTAATCACATCTGCAAAGACCCTGTTTCCAAATAAGGTCACATTCACACAGCATGGGGTTAGGGCTTGGGATTATCTCTTTGGGGGACACTCGTCATCCCACGCCGTGGGGAGACTCCGAGGGGCTGGGGGACGAGTGTCCCCGGCCCCCTTCCACTCGGTCATCCCGTCACTCGCTCATTCATTCCCTCCGCCTGTCCACCCGGCCGCCCACCCTCTGTCTTCTCCTCTGTTCCAGGGGCGATGGCAGCCGGAGGCCTCTGAAACAAGGGAGAGGGAGCTGGGAGAGCGCGGTGCACATGCGGACGGATGGAAGGAAGGAAGGAAGGACAGAGGATGCCCTGAAGAGAAGACCTTCCGGGGCGGGGCGGTGGCCACTGACTCCCCCCATTTGAACAGTGGACCCTCCCCCTCCCCCACTCCCAGGCAGGACCAGGGGAGCCAGAGTCACCTACACCAGCCCCAGAGCCTCTTCCCTGCGCCGGGCAAGGGACCAGGCCCAGACCGGAACCGGGGAAAGGCCAGCCCCGGGCAGCCTCTGAGATTTAGGCTAGGAAACAGGAGGGCTCCCCACCAGAAGGCTGGGGGAAGCTCCGTCCCCGAGCACAGTGGCGTATGCCTGTAGCCTCAGCTATTCGGGAGGCTGAGGTGGGAGGATCCCTAGAGCCCAGGAGTTTGGGGCTAGCCTGGGTGACAGAGAGAGACCCCATCTCTGAAATATTTTTTTAAAATAAAAACAAAGCCCCATGGAGGACTGTGACATTGATTGTCCTTTTTCAAACTCCTGACCTTGAGCAATCCGCCCACCTCGGCCTCCCAGAGGGCTAAGATTACAGGCGTGAGCCACCGCGCCCGGCCTGATTGTCGTTTTTAAAGGACACCTGCACGGCCCTCGGCACGGCGCCCGGCACAGTCATGGGGCACAGCTTTCCCAGAGAGATTCTCCTTACGACTGGCCACATTCTTTCCCCCAGTGGACAGCTACACACATTGTAATTAACATTAAAAAAGCATAAAAAGCATAAATCTAACCTGCGCTGGCATGATATCATTGCTCAGGGTAAAGCTGGTGTAGGTTTTGAGAGTGGGTGGCCTGCACAGGCCGTGGCCGGGATATGGGCGCTGCAGGAAGGGAGGAAGTACCCGGGGCCTGAGCCGGTGCCCCGGGTCCCAGCTGGCCCATGGATGTCTTTGCTTTAGCCAAGGAGTGATCTGAAAAATTAGATTGGTTGTGAACATTTAAATGTCAAGTGGCTTCACATAAATAAAATCTGGCTTCTTTTGGAAACTGGGCAGACCTGGCTGCCATGGGCCACACTGTGCTGGTCAGGACGGTCTGAGCAGCAGCTGGCACCTGCCCCGCTAGACCTTTGAGTTTGAGAACCCCCTAGGTCTCAAACTGTCAGCGAGGGGAGGGCAGTGCCCACAGACGGAATGAAGCGAGCAAATGCCTGGAGGTACAGGAGGGAGGGGGTGTACCAGAGAGTGGGGGGTACTTCAGCTCACCTGGAGCCCAGAGTCCTTAATGCAGAAGATAAAACTAGAAAAGTTGGGGCCTGACTTTAGGAGATGAGGCTTTAGGCAATGGGGAGCCATTGAAGGTGGTTGAGCAGGGGGAGTGACTTCAGAAAGATTACTCGGGGACTGAGCAAGCATCTGAGGCAGGGGGAGCAATCAAAGCAGGGCCACCTCCAAAGCACCTGGTGACAACTACGAAGAATGTCCCACCCCTAGATCTTCAAGAGTATGGGGAGCCTGAGAATCTGGTTCTTTGAGAAGCAGCCACCTGCCCAGTGGACTGTGATGAAGGGGAGGGGCTGGGACCATACTTTGAGAAATACCGGTGAGTGAGTGGTTGGGAACGGAGCCGGGCAGGAGGAGATGTGGGCCTGGACCAGGGAGAGGCCGGGGGACGGGGTTTCACAGCCCAGGCCTGCCCGAGAGGATGGAGGCTTGGAGCCAGGGCTTTGACAGTGGCCCAGGGTCTGGGTGGGGCCTTGGCCCGGGAGCTCCTTCCCCGGATGAGGCTGCTGCCTCTCACTGGCTGGGGTCAGAACCCCATCTGATGGCCCTGGGGGCAGAGAGGTCGCTGACCAGGAGGTGGCAGTGCTGACCAGAGAGAGCAGCAGTTTCCAGGTCAGACGCCTGCAGAGAGAGGCTGCAGCTCCAGGGCCAGCCCAGCCGCTCCTCCAGCCTCCAGCGGGCCTGCAGGGCCCCGGCCAGGGGGCTGCGTGGCGGAGTACCCCATCCCCGCCCAAGGCCACCGTCCTCTTCCCTGAGCTATAGAATCTTTAGCTATAAAATAGGAACGGAATGGGGCATGTCACAGGCCGGCTGCAGGGATGAAAAGAGGAAACCCTTGTAAAAGGCTTGTTCACTGAACAGGACCTAAAAGAATAGGTTTGTGAAATGGAAAGCAAGCGTGTAAGCAAGGACCACATCAACCCTAAGGACAGCACCCATCACAGCGTGGCCACCAGTGCCAGCGAGACACTCACAGGGCATGATTATCACCTGGGATAGCATGCCGGGAAACGGGAGTCAGGAGACCTGGCTCTGCCTCCAACTTCCTGTGTGGCCTTGGGCAAGACACTCAGCCTCTCTGAGCCCGCTCTCTGGTCTATAAAATGGGGTGAGCACTGTGAAAGCTAATGAGCTCTCGGGCACGGGGATGTCCTGTCCCGTGGATGTCCTCTGCCGTGCCCAGGCAGGAGCTTGCACCCCAAGGGGTGCTCAGGGAGGAGAGGCTGCGCCGTGGCTGGACAGCAGCACAGAATGACACGCGCAACAGGCCGCACAACCGGATTTGGGGTGTCACTCAGAGGAGCCTGCCTGGTCAAACCCCAGGGACGTTTTCAGGGCCAGGGGAGCCAGGACTGACCGTGGAAAAGGCCAGTTCAGGATGCTTGTGGGGGTGTCCCTGGCGGACGGGACAACATCTGCACCTAGAAGCTGGGAGCTCCGTGCCTCGCGCATGGGCAACTTCCCTTATGGGAAGGTATGTATTCGTGCCTCAGTTTGCTCATCTGTAAAATGGGGGATAAAATACAAAAGAGAGAAAATAAAATGGGGATGATAACCTCAAAAAGTTGACGTGAAAACTAATGGAGTTAATCCACATAAATCACTTAGCACAGGTCCTGGCACATAGTAGGTGATCAAAAATGTAGCTGTGGTTGTTATTACCGTTATGATTATTATGCTACACCGTGAGCAATAACTTCCAAAGTCACAGGATGAGACTTGATGCTAACTTCCCTTTAAAGTCAGCGTCACTGATTCACGCTTGGCTTGAGGGCCACCAAGATCCCTGGCGCTTTTTGGGAACACCTGGTACCTAGCCTATCTCCCCGTTTCTCCCTGACACCCTCCTGGGGGCGTGCTTAGGTTCCGGTGAGGCGCCCCTGCACTTTCTGTGCGCCTGCGCCAAGCTCACACGCCCAGAGTGTTTCCATCGTCAAGGACCAGGGTGCAGGGAGAAAGGTCGCAAGTTACAGACTCCTCTCCCAACACGAGAAAGTCAATTCCCTTGGAGGCTGGAGCCTCTAGGCCCAGGAGAGACAAGGACTCCCAGAAGCAAGTGCGGAGCTTGTGGGCATGCTGTCACCAGGGGGCGGCATCGAGAGAGGAGGCCTGGGCAGGCTTTCTCTGCCTCCCTCAGGACAGTCCAGCCCCCCCCCCAGCCCCCCGCACCTGGATGGAGCAGAGCGGCCCCGGGCTGGGATGAGAAGCGTCGTTTCTGCTTCTGCACAAACCTCTAAGAAGGACCCCCCCGTGAGACATGAACTTGATAAACTGTAATCAAAGCTCTGTCTCAAGAGGGAAGAGGGGAGAAGTAACAGAAGGAGACAGGGCAAATGAGCGTGGGCTTCCACCCGTCACCTGAGCTCTGATCTGGTTGCTAAACGTCCCGCTGATAACGGCGCCGTTTCCCCACTGCCTGTGACGGCCAAGGCCACGGCCACTCTCCCCACATCCCACGGACGCTCCTCCTCCTGTGTCCCCTGCAGTCAGCATCCTCCCCGGAGGGCAAGTGGAGCCCGACCTCGTCCTAGAGGACGTCGACCCTTGCTGGGAGGACGCCCACCAGAGTGACAGCGACAGCCCGGTGGGGACAGAGGTGGTTCCAGCTTATGAAGAAGAGAACGAAGCCGTGGAGGAGGTGCCCAGGTGGGGAATCAGAGGAGGCCCTGAAAGAAAATGACACATTGTTTGAAAAGGTGACAAGCACGCAGTGCAGAATCCCAAAGGTCTGAAAGGGCATGGAGCAGGGCGCGCCCCTGCCTCAGACTCCCCTCCCCCTCCCCGTGGGTACCACGGCCACCGGGTTCTTACGCACCGCCCCAGAGATACCCCGGGCACAGGCAGGCAAGCACGCGGCCCCTGTTTTTGTTTTTTTGCACAGGAGATAGCCTATCGCCTGTACCTATCTGCGCCGTGCTATATTCATTCAGTATAGCTTGGGGTCTTTCCGAGTTCAGTACATGGAGCGCGCCCTCATTTTTTACGGCTGCATAGTATTCCATCATGTGGAGGTACCATAATTCATCCAACCCACCCACTATCGATGGACTTTCAGATGGATTCCAATATTTTGTTATTATGAACAATTCATCAGCAAGCGCTCTTGTATGCATGTCTTTGCACGCGTGTGAGTACATCTGCAGGAAATTTCCAGAGTGGGGATTGCCGGGTCCCCACTGGGCATGGAGTGTGGAATTGTGGGTAGTGATTGCCATTTCACCTTCCACAGGGACGTCACTATCTTTGTTACCACTAGTGAGTGTTGCTAGGGGATACCAGGAGGTCTGGCTGGGAGGTCTTGGGTTCTCAAGCCCATAACGTACATTGCTAAGATGGGGAAACTGAGGCCCAGAGCGGGTCAGAGGCTGACCTAGAGTCTCTACCAGGACAGTGGGGGCTGGGACGGGCCCCTCATGCAGTGAAGAGGGCGTGCTGCTGGGGGGAGCCGCGGCTGCTCAGGTGGGGCTCCCCGGGCTGGAGGGCCTCGGTGGAGAGCCCAGGCCCAGTGTCGGGAGCCACGGATGTCCTGCGGAAAATGGGAAGGGGGTGGGTTCTAGGGGTACCGCCAGGTGGGCTCACCCTTGCCTCTAACCCCAACCCAGGGAGCTGCCCCGGATTGAGGAGGAGAAAGAAGAAGAGGAAGAGGAGAAAGAGGAGGAGGAAGAGGAGAAAGAAGAAGAGAAAGAGAAGGAGAAAGAGAAAGAGAAAGAAAAGGAAAAAGAAAAAGAAGAAGAGAAAGAGGAGGAGGAAGAGGATGGAGAAGAAGAGGAGGAAGAAGAGGAGGAGGAGGAGAAGGAGCCTGAGTAAGTCGCTTGTCCCCCTGGCTAAGGGACGTCCCAGGGAGGGGTTCTAGTGGGGGACTGCAGGGCTCCTGGGGCAGGAGCTCCGGCCCTTTGTTCTGCGCTGTGTGTCCCGGGCTTTGACCAGAGAGGCTGGGAGAAGCGGGGAGTCCTCCGCTGTGCTCATAGCAACCTGGGAGTCATATTACCCACCACTCCACACCCCCCTGCACACGCACACATGCACACACACACGCACGTATGCACACGCACACGCACATGCACATGCATGCAACCTCTATGAGGGCTGGGACTCTCGTCTGTTGCTTTCACTGCCAGGTCTCCAGAGCCTAGAACGGTGCCCGGTGCACAGTAGGCGCCAGATAGATGTTAGTTGAGCGGACGCGTGGGTGGACGTGTGGGTGGGCCCGCGGCTCCCTGTCATTGACAAAGCCACGCTGTCTCCCTCCACGCCCCCACTGAGGCCAGGGCTGCCTCTGACGCCTCTAAGGCCGCCCTGGATTCTGCTCTGTTGCCCAAAATGGTTGATTCTCCGCCAACATCCATACAGATTTCAACATTAAAACACACAGAAGAGTTCAGTTAAAATAAACGTTAAGAAACGGAGATCAGAGACCACTAAGAGGGAGCGGCTGTGGCAAGGTGGCATGGACGGAAGGGTGGGTGGCAGGTGAGCAGCCGTGGGCCGCAGAGCAGGCAGCTGGACACCTGGGCCTGGGGTCGGGGGCGGGGGAGGTCGGGCTGGAGACGTGACGTTGGGACTCTGGTCACAGATGGCGCCGAAAGCTGTGGGGCTGGAGAAGGTGCCCAGGAAGCGAGCGTGGACAGAGGAGTGGCCCGAGGACCAGATCAGAGGCAGGGAGATGAGGAGGAGCCCGAAAGGACTGAGGAGGCCCCCCAGTGAGGGGGGAGTGAGAAGAGTGCAGGGCCTAGAGGCCAAGTTAGAAAGTGTTTCAAGGAGGAGAGGCTGCCTCAAAAGCAGGTTGTAAAGGCCTTGAACTTGATTTCCCAAGAGCAGTAGCAATAGGGAGCCATTGAAGGTTCGTGAGCAGAAGAATGGCATGATCTGGTAGCTGTGTTGGGGAGAGATTGAGGCAGGGGGACAGTGAGGGGGCTGTTGTCACAGATCAGATGAGAGTAAGTTGCTCTTTCCCTTGCTCCAGCCCCTGCATCATTCCCTGTCCCTGTCACTCTGCATCCTTCCTCCCTGACCTGTCCCTCTGGCCGTGGCCTGAGATAAGACAGCACCATGGGCATCATGAGCACAGGCTTCGGCATCAGAAACGCCACTTTGCTCCTATTCGAGAGTGACCTGCTCAGAGCTTCTGCTTCCGCACCTGTCAAGTGGTTGGGGGGGGACAATGATAGCCTCCTGCAGAGGGGCCGAAGGCCGGCAGTGATGATGGAAGTGGGGGCCTGGCCTGGAGTAAGTCCCCATCAACACTCACTGACGTTCTCGTCCCCACTGAGCGCCTCTTTCAGTTCCAATCAGGTAATATTTAAAGCACGAGACCAACACAGGACTTCAGAGCTGGAAGCCTGTTTGGTGTCATCTGCTTTTGGTCCACCCTTGCTCAGTTCACATATAATCTTGCCATCCTTGACAGGAGGCCACACAGTCTCTACTTGCTCACCTCCAGTGATGGGGAGCTCACCACCTCTCAAAGGTTGTCTATTTTATCCATATGCACCTCTGACTTGTGAAATTATTCTTACACCAAAACTAAGCTTGCTTCCCTGTGGCTTCTATGACCCGGTCCTAATTCCACCTTCTCTGCCAACCCCAGGAAGCTGAAGACCATAGACGCTGCCTGGTTTCATCAGTGCAGGTTGTTTGCACACTGCTTTCTACCTGCCCTACGTGGAGTGCACAGCTCTGAGTCTCTCCTCCACGAAACTGGTGCACCAACACACAGGCCTGGAAAATCCTGCGTTTGCCACTGCTCTCGAGCTGAAACACCCCTTGAAGGCCAGTGATCAACTGTGCTCTCACGTATGCACACGCACTAACTGCACATGTGTTCTCAGAATGCAGCACACATGGGCACACACATGTGCATATCTGCACTATACACGTACATACCAGCACACAGACGCAAGCCACACATGCTGGGTTATGTGCATGCTTGTCTCCACATATATCCTGCATATATGCACAGGCATGTGCAGCATACTCACACACGTGTGTGCACACAGGTACACATGCATACGCTTGCACACATCCGCACCACACCCTCGCAAACATGCGCACGCACACCAGCACGTACCTGCAGGGTTACCCACAGATGCTACAGGCATACACACTTTCACACAAATGTTCACCCGGAGTTTTAAACTTGGGGAACTTTTGGGCCCCAGGCCCAGGGAGGGACAAAGGCACAATGACGACAGAGTGAGCGATCCGAGGGCAGGACGGGAGGGTGTGAAGCCTGGGCCAAGTGGAGCAGGGCTGTCACTGGCTGGGGAAGGGTGCCCTCGGCCAGCTTTGCAGAGGCACAGGTTACTGATGACGTGGAGGCCCTGGTAACAGGCAGATGGTCGCCTAGCGACCCGGTCTCTGCAGGCAACAGCTCGGCTTTTCCTAGCAACCGTGGCCTTTTGGTCCCACCTGGCCTCCCTGGGGCCGCTTCTGCAGTTCCCTGCACATCCCCTCAATCTGATTAGCAGCAGGAAGGACCGGTGGCTCATCTGCCACCCGAGCCACACTGGCTCGGGAGCCGGTCTCGTGGCTGGGCCGGGGCTCTGCAATTCTCCACTTGCTCTCGCCGACCCCAGGCATGGGATGAATGCCACAGCCCCAGCTGAACTCCTGCACCATGGGCATCCCTGCTGGCCAAGACAGACAGACCCAAGTAGGTGGCTGTTTCTCCCTACGGGCTCCCCTCCTTCCTTCTTTTGGGGTTGGGATTTCAAGTGGAGTTTGCTGAAGGTGACAATGAGAACCTTAACTCAGGGGCACAGCCTTCTGGGGGGGGGTTGGGGAAGGAGGAATGACTGATAAACCCTGGAGAGCTGGCTGCCACTGCTGTTCCCTGGACCTTGGACTTGGAAGCCAAGGGGCCTCCAGGAAGCCCAGCTCAGCCTGTCCCTGTCTGTTCTTCTGCTTGGAAATCCCTGGGACTTGGGGACATTCTGAGAGTTGCTGGCCTGCTGCTTCTGGGCTGGGCAAGAGGGGACCTTGGCAGGAACTGGGCACGCTGGTGACCCGGGGCAATGTGGCTTTGGTACATGGGCCCCCAGACAGCCCCTGGTGATGCTGCCGGGGCCACCACTGGGCTCCTGATAGCTGGAGATATTTGTGCAAAACGTTACCCAATCCACGTGGGTGATTTCATAATCCTGCAGGTTGCTACCTCCTCTGGGATTAATAACAATAATGACAAGAACAATAACGATCAAAGCTACCATTTGATTAGTACTTTTTCCTGTGCCAGACATTATGCTAAGGCAGCCTGAACGGCAGTCTATTATTAATCCCATTTCACAGATGAGAGCACTGAAGTTCAGAGGTGGCACCCTGCACGTCCAGGGTGCCCTGCCAGGAAGTGCAGACCTGAGATTCTGTCCCCAGTCAGGCTGGCTCCACGGTGAGCACTTAGCGCTAAAGACAAGGAAAGCCACTTACCAACATTTAGAGAGGAAGAATCCAGAAGAATCACAAAAACAACACTTGACAGTCTTTTTTGACTTTTCTATGAGATTGTCATTGGTCCTTCTGACCTTGCTCAAATAAGTCAGGCTGTACAGGCCAGGCAGAGGCAGCCCAAGGCTTCCAGGTGACTTGCCCTGGGCCATACACTGATTTCCTGGCCTGAAGCCAGAGTGAGTAGGACCCCGAGAAGCCTCAGGCTGGGACTGAGCGCAGTTCACTTCCTGAGCCTTCAGGCTGCAGGCAGAGAGCTGCGAAGGGGCCTGCATTGTTTCTGGGAGAGACTCCAGGCAGCCCCTTGCAGCAGAAGCCCCGTGGTAGCCCACCTGTGCAGGGCTGGCCCCACGTGGTGGGCACAGTGCTCCAAGCACCTGCAGGGGCCTGCAAGAGTGTTTTAATTTCTTTTACAATCAGACCCCCAAAATGAACTTTTAGATAGACTGTCATGTCTTAAGATATAATATTAACATGTTAATCTTTATACAAATGCAGCCAAAGTTTTTATATTTTGAATTATTGCTAAGGCCAGGTGTGGTGGCGCACGCCTGTAATCCTAGCACTCTGGGAGGCCAAGGCGGGAGAATCGCTTGAGGTCAGGAGTTCAAGACCAGCCTGAGCAAGAGCAAGACCCCATCTCTACTAAAAATAGAAGTAAATTGCTGGACATAAAAATATATATAGAAAAATTAGCCGGGCAATGTGGCGCATGCTGTAAGTCCAGCTACATACGGATGAGGCTGAGCAGCAGGTTGCTTGAGCCAGGAAGTTTGAGGTTGCTGTGAGCTGGGCTGATTGCAGGCACTCTTAGCCCCAGGCCAACAGAGCAACGACTCTGTCTCAAAAAAAAAAAAAAAAAAAAATTTTTTTAAAGGGCCTATGAAGGCTAACATGCCCAGGACCCATGAAAGTTATTAATATGGCCCTGCTTCTTTCTTTCTTTCTTTCTTTCTTTCTTTCTTCTTCTTTCTTTTTCTTCTTCTTTTTCCTTTCTTCTTCCTTCCTTCCTTCCTTCCTTCTTTTCTTCCTTCTTCCTTCTCTTCCTTCCTCTTCTTTCTCTTCTCCTTCTCTTCTTTCCTCCTTCTTTCCCTCCCTCCTTTCTCCTCCTCCTCCTCCTCCTCCTCCCCCTCCTCCCTCCCTCTTCTTCCTTCCTTCCTCCTTCTTCCTTCTTCCTCTCCTCTTCCTTTCGAGAGGGGGTTCTCTGTGCAGGCTGGTTCAGTGTCTGCTCACAGCTCGCTTGATCGCAGGCTAAGTGGTCTTCCCGCCTCAGCCCCCGAGTAGCTAGGATACGGACAGGTGCCGGATATTTTTAAATTTGTAGGTAAAGTCTGGTAATGTTGTCCAGGCTGGTCTCAAACTCCTGCTGGGATTACGGATAAGAGCCACCATGCCTGGCCTAGGGATTTGCTATATATAAGACCATGTCACCTATAGGGAGAATTTAACTTCTTCCTTTCCAATTTGGATGCCTTTTATTTCTTTCTCTTGCCTCGTTGCTCCGGGTGGGACCTCCTGTACTACGCCGCATGGCAGTGGGAGGCGTGGGCGTCCTTGTCTCGTTCCTGGTCCCAGAGGAAAAGCTTCCAGCTTCTCGCCGCGGGGAACGATGCTAGCTGTGGGTCTGTCACGCATGGCCTTCACTGTGATGACGCGTTCCTTCCGCGCCTAATTTGTTGAGAGCTTTTACCATGCAAGGATGTTGAATTCTATGCAATCTGCATCAATTGAGATGATCATACGGTTTTTATCCTTCACTCTGTTGACGCGGTGTTTCACGTGTGTCGATTTCTCAGTGATTTGGAGGAGGATCGGGGAGACAGCGCGTGTGCGGTGCCTGGCGCCCAGCCCCGAGCCCCAGTGGCGATGTGATTACTGGCTGATGATTGCTCCCAGGCCTCCGGCTGCAAACCGACTGGCTGCCGTCCCGTCCCCACCTCCTTGCCCACCTCGGGAGGGCTGAGCCTTGGCCCTCTGCGTAGGACCAAGTGCACTTGTAGGGTTTCTGAGTGGACATGCATACCCAGCGAGGCCCCGCTCGTGGACAGGTGGGTAGAGTGCGGGTGTTGAGGAACAGAAACTAGTGCCTAACTACACAAGTCACATCGCCCCCGCCCGCCGTCCTGGGTCATTTTAATCCCAGAGGCGGTCACATGGGACACCAAGAGCTATTGAGCCCGGAGACAGGGCGTCTTTGGAGTAATTACGCATATTAATAGGAGTATATTAATCATCTGAATTAATGATCAGGCACAAGAGTTCATGAATAAGTTCACCTTTATAAACACATATAGTTAAAAAGTAATTTGACTGGGCCGGCACAGTGGGCTTAGTGCGCTGTAGATCGTAGTACTGCTTGGTTGAGGCTGGATGGCGGGTGTGGTGGCCGAGGTCGAGGGAATTCGGAGACGCCGAGCCTGAGCAGCGGGTGAGAACCCCGTTCGTACTTGAAAATGAGGGGCGGAAGAAATTAATGGCCAGACTAATTATATGATAGAAAACATTAGCCGGTCAATGTGTAGTGGCATTGGCACTGGTAGGTCCAGGCTACGTGGACGACGTGAGAGTAGAGGAGTGGCTTGAGCCGTCTCAGCGATTGAGGTTGTCGTCGAGCCGTAGGCTGATGCCCATCACCTCTCTGAGCCCAGGGATCAGAGTGAGAGCGTATGCTTCAGAGGGAAACACCCACTTTCCTTGGCTGGGCCATGGTGGCCTCCGAGGGCTCAGCTGTATGCCAGTAGCCTCTGGAGAGGCTGAGGCAGGTGGACCGATTGAGCTCAGGGAGTTCAATGGGTCGTCAGGTGAGAAGACCAGCCTGAGCATTGAGTGAGACCCGACATTGCAAACCTACACAAGCAAAATAGAAAGAGCCGGGCCGCTGGCGGTGGCTCACGCCTGTAATCCTAGCACGGTGGGTGGGGAGGCCGAGCGCGGGCTCGGTGGCGGATGCTGCAAGGTCAGGGAGTTCCAAAACCCAGCCTTGAGCTCGTGAGACCCCCGGGCGTACTCTACCATAAAATAGAAAGAAATTAGAATTGTCCAACTATATACCGTATGAATACTAAGAAATCAGCCGTGGCATGGTGGTGCGATGGCCGTGTAGTCCCAGGCTACTCGGCGAGGGCTGAGGCAGCCGAGGATTGTTGAGCCCAGGAGTTTGATTTTTTTTGTTTTGTTGGCTGGTGAGGTTAGGCTGACGCCACGGCACTCAGCTCGTAGCCCTGAGGCAAGAAAGCGAGATCTGTCTCGTTATATATTAATTTTATAATAATTTAGTTGTGTTTTAGTTGTAACTAAAATTAGAATAAATATTGTTTTTTTTTTTTTGTATATTATTTTTTTTTGTATAACACACAACACACTTTTTTTGCTTTTCTGGTGAGAGTTTATATTAGGTGGGCATGGTGGTGTATTGCTGTTTGTTCTCAGTTGTCTTCGGTTTGTATCTGATTGTGTCAGTGAAGGATTGCTTTGGAGTCTCTGGGATGTTGTATGTGTGTGTGGTCTGTGTGTTTGTTGTTTTTGTTGTGTGTTGTTGCAGTGTGTTTGTCTTCATACATAAAATCAAAAGGTTTTAGCATTTTTTTTAGTGATTTATATTGTCTTTTATCCGTGATATTATTTATGTAGTCAAGAAAATTAAGAAGAGAATTTTTAGAGGGGACCTGGTCTAAGAACAGAGCATATCGGATTTTGCCTTTTAGAAAGTTGGGCCCGACGATGGATGTGGGTCACCCGTATTAATCTAGCACTCTGATAGGCCAAGGCTAGAGGATCACTTGAGGTCAGGAGTTCGAGACCAGCCTGAGCAAGAGGGAGACCCCTATCTCTACTCAAAATAGAAAAAAAATAGCTGGTCATGGTGGCACACACTTGTAGTCCCAGCTACTCGGGAGGCTGAGGCAGGAGGATTGCTTGAGCCCAGGAGTTTGAGTCTGCTGCGAGCTAGGCTGACGCCTCACAGCATTCTAGCTTGGGTGACAGAGCGAGACACTGTATGAAAAAAAGAAAAAGAAAATGGGAAGATCTGACCACTCAAGTCCTCCATTCCAAGCGGAGTGGGGTTGGCACCTCCAGCTGGACGTGGGTTCTCCAATGTGCGACAGTCCTCCCTGTACCCCATCCTTGCCCCTGGCCCTGTCACTTACGTATGCCTGCTGCTGGGCCTGGGGCTCCCGAAACCCTCAGCACCTGCCGTGCGGCTCTGCTCTTACAGTGTGAAGGGAACCAGGGCCTGGGGTTGAGGTTTGTGCGGCTTGGGACAATTTGCTGTGTGATTTTGGCCAGGTCGGTTCACCTCTCTGGTCCTCACTTTTCTCAACTCTCTGCATCAGCAAGGTTGCCTGGAGGCGCTCTGGGGCAGGCCTGGGCGTGTGTTCTGAAACCCTACAGTGCCCTTTGGGCTACCCCAGAGGGTAGCTCCTCCCGCCGTCCCCCGTGCTTTGCTGGGCACACGTTGTTCCTCCTTCCTGGACAACGTTCCAACACCTGTTCCTGGTGGAAAATCATCACCCTTGAGGCCCAGGTTACAATAGGCCACCTCCTCTGGGATGCCCTCCTTCCTTGCAGAGCTGTGGCGTGTCCTTCACGCCCGCTGCTGAGCGCGCATCCCAGATGGAGTGACTCTCAGCAGTCACTGCCCTGGGGGCTTCAGGACAGGCAGGACCTGTCCTTGGGCATCCCTGTGCCCCCCGCTCCTGGCACTCAGGAAACCTGTCACACCCCTAACCTCCGTCCTCTTCTCCCGCCCCCCCCCGGGGGTCACAGAGTCCTGCTGGATAGCTGTTTGGTGGAGCAGGTGTGCGTGGGCCAGAGCGCAGTAGACGAGGCCCAGTCCCCGGAGGCCTCTTCCCAGGTACGGAGCAGCACCAGGCGCCAGGGCACCTCTGCGGCCCGGCCTGGGGTCGGCGGCGGGGCTGGGCTCTGTCCACCTTCTTTCCAGGGGTGTCTGGCCGGTGAGATGCCCACAGGAGGGAGGGGAGCGGGCGGGGCGGCCGGCCAGGCCCTGCTCAGCGCGGGGTCAGAGGTGTCAGGAAAGGCCCTGGCGTGGGCGAAGCTTCGAGTAGATCCGGGCTGCAGTCCCCACGCGGCTGCCTGACTCCGGGCAAGTCGCCTCCCCACCTGGGGCCCTAAGCGGCCACCTGTGTTACGTGAGGCTGCACGTGCCTTCCTGGGGTTGGTGGGAGGATCCGAAAGGGCTCGCACACGTGAAGTGCGGTCCTGGGGTGGGGAGCCCGTGGTGGCTGCTTTCGTGGCCTTGTCCCCACGCGTACAGGGCTGCACGGGGAGTTCCCTCATCGCAGGTGACAACTGCAGGGCTTAGGGCCTGAGGCCCCTCTGTGCCCTGCCCTCTGCAGGCTGTGGCCCTCCTCCGCAGATGCCCAGGAGGTGGGCGGGCAGGGCGAGGGGCAGCGCTGGGCCCACGCGGACTCCTGGCGGGGCTGGCGGTCACAGCTTCTGTCTTCACTTTCATCTTTGCAGGAGGTGCTGGAGGAGGCTGAGTTGGAGGCTGCGGTGGAGTCCGGGTCCGAGGCCACCAGCTCAGGAGGTAGGTGTGCGGTGGCGGTGGCCGTACCGGAAGGTCTGGGACGCGTTCAGGCGGGGGCAGCCCCAGTGCAGGGCACCCCCTCCTCCTTGCCCTCCACTCCTTCTCAGCTGCTGTGTCGGGGCCACGTTATCAGAGCCCGACGATGGCGTTCCGAGGCCCTAGGGGAATTGAGCTGAGGCGCCCGGACTCCCAGAGGGGCCGGGGAGACCCCACTCCCAGACAACCTCTCCCGCCAGCGCCGGGCAGTGAGAGCGCAGCTCTCTGCGCTACGGGCAGCCCAGCCAGGGTTTGATGCGGACATAACGTATCTGAGTGAAAACTGGGACCAGAGCTTGCAAACAGCACGTCCTAGAGCCCTCGTCTCTTTATGAGGCTTCCCTGGCTGCCAAGATCTCCAGGCTGCAGCCAGCACGGGCGCCTTGCTGTTATTTACCACCCCACCCCCACCCCTGAGGACTCCACTAACAACGGCTGGGCCAGGTAGCTGGGGACAGGTGGACCCCGAGTCCTGGCCTGCAGGTATTGCGTGCCTTACCCTCTTCCACGTTCCCCAAGCCACAGGTGCTTCCATGGGGAGGCAGAGAGACCATTTTACAGATGAGAAAACTGAGGCTCTGTGTGTGTTGCATTTGGCCCAGAGATCAAGGCACAAGCTACAGTTCACTCCTCGCTCATCTTTCTCTTCCTTGCTGCGTGACCCAGAGCCAGTGCTGGGACCTCTCTGAGCCATGACTCCCAGATCAAGATGAATGGGGCAATAACAGTCCCTACCCCACAGATGTTGGGCAGAGTAGGGGTGACAGTGCACCCCGAGCTATGGCTGGCACTGAAGGAGACATCAGTAATGGGGACAATGATATGTCCCAGACAGCCAGAGACAGAAATGAGACTGCACCCAGTTGTCCTGACCCTGGGTGTCCGGAGCTCGCTCCCCACCTGACTTTTGGAGAGGGTTCTCTGTTAACTTCAACACACACCTGGGTGGGCCCCACATGGATGAGTAAGACCAGGAGCAAACAGGTGCGGCCCCAGGCTCCGTGGGTGGCTTTGTCCCCTTGCTTAGGTGGTCTGGGAGCCACGCTCCGAGAAGAGCTGAGAAATAGTCGCTTGTCCGCCACTACTCAAAAGTGCAGACCTAGAACCAGCAGCTGTGGCATCACCTGGGAGCTAGTTAGAATGCAGATTCCCAGGCCCCATCCCAGACCCGCGGCATCAGCGTCTGCGTGGTGACCAGATTGTCTGCACATTGGTGTTGAGAGGCGACAGCCTTGAGCCTGGTTCTCCAACTTGACTGCACATTGGACTCACTGGAGAGATTTAAAAATTCCTGCTGCCAGACCTCATTCTAGACCACTGAGTCAGAATCTCTGGGATGGGCCTGGCCATCGGAAATCTTCACACCTCCCCAGGTGACTCCAATGTGCCGCCCAGTTTGGGTCCCAGGGCCCTAGGAAGAGTTACTGCTTCTGGTTAGAGGTGAAAGGAATTGATCTCCAGGGTTTCTCTGGACTGGAAAATTCTACCAGGCTCAGAATGTTTGAGTCCAGGGTTCTTTGGGTCTAGGAGTCTAGGAGTCTAGGAGTCTCAGTGCGTTCTGGGTTCTTTGATTCTAACTCATTTTGAGTCTGAGATGGGAAACGCCACTGCCGGTTTGGAAGCGGAGAGAGCGTGAGAAGTTGGGGGGCTGCGGGCTGTCTCTCAAAGCTCTGGGGCAGACCAGCCCCAGGACTTGATGACGTCGCATTCGATGTTGAGCTGCAGGGACAAGAGTGTGCTTCGGAGCTCGGGTGGCACTGCTGCCGGTGCAGGGGGCTGCAGGCTGGTGTGTTGGTGCTGGTGGGAGGAGCCCACCTATCTTGCCTCCCCCAACTCTCCTCCTGACTGCAGCCCCCAGGGTCCTGCCTCTGCCCGAGACCCTGTGGCCCCAGCACCATGGCTAACGTGGGCCGGAGCATGGAGCTGAACCTCCTGGTGCAGGACCAGCTGCCTGGCCAGGTGGCCCCTGGGCCTGGCCCCCCAAGCCTGGCGGAGCAGCTCCCCAATGTGCCCATCTACCACCGCCGCCCAGTCACCCGCATCCCTGTTCTCACCTCCCGGAGAACCACCCTGTCCAATTCCAGATTCGCCAAGGAGACCAGGAGCTCCATCCGCCTCCTAGGTAGTGTGACCTCACCTACTCAGCATGTTCCCGTCCGTGGCATGTGCTTCTGCATGGCTTGGACTGTCTTCCCACATAGGTGCTGTGGTCATGGCATGTGCTCATGGAAAACCACCCCTTCTTGCTCTGCTGATCCATGCCTTCATCCTGCTTTGTGGTGGCGACTTGAGGAATTTTAGTCCCGTGCCTAAAATTCCACACTTAGTAATTCTTTTCACTTGATTAAACATTCCTTTCTGCAGGCCCATCATTTTTTTTATAGGTAGTCACTCACACTTTAGCTTAAACAAGTCACTCACTCAGATCTCTAGGCCAAGAGGCTTGGACAGCAGTGAAAGGAGAGAAATAGAACAGAAGAGGAATGTGGGGGCCCAGTGTAGATAGAATCTACTCACGAGAGTTTGCTGGGAGCTGGACTTTCTGAGGACTATTGATATCTGCTCAGCAAATTCCATTTCAGGAAAGGCAAAGTCCCAGGCGCAGGCAGGCAGAAAAGGAGGAGAGGCCCCCCCAGAGGCCAGTGCAGAGGGAAGGCCTGTCTGGATCCATTTAATTGTGACAAGGTCCCCACAGTGGCATTCCGGCTGCTGCTGCTCACTGCCTGGTGACAAAGCACTCAGGGACCTTCTGGCACCTCTGGACTAACCCCTGTCACTTTCTGCCTTAACCCGAGCCAGACCTGTCCACTTTCCCTTTTGATTTGACAGTGTGTGTGTTTCTGGTTGACACTGTGCAAAGCTGCCTGTGAGATCAGCACAGGCCGTTAGAACTGAACATTTTATGAGAGGAAGTCATCCGTGGCCCTAGCACCCCGAACGTGCGTGATCTTGTCTGCTTTTGGAAGCTAAGCAGGCTTGGGCCCGGTTAGCACTTGGATGGGAGAAGAGGTCCACTGTTACCCTTCCCTCTTCTTCCAAGGTGGTCACAGAGAGGGGAGAAGGTGGGGCGCAGGTCCTCCTGCAGGGAGGGGTGCTCCCCTCCCAGTGGGCAACCTCAGGTCCACTCCTCCAACACCCACCCCACCGGCCGCTCCCTGGCCAACGCTGCTTTTATTTACTTATGATTTTTCTCCCGCTGGATTCTCTTTTTTATTTAATAATGTGTATTTAAACAGGAAAACTCCTTATCATTATTCAAATGGAAAACCCAGCGTTGCTTGCCAAAAATAGAAGGCATAAGTAGAAATACCCACAAACACACTGAGAGCAAAACGGTGCGATGGTTTCCCGTGAGATTGCTGGCCCAGTGGAGGCTGGCAGCCGAGGTCCACTCTCTTAGCAAAAAAAAAAAAAAAAACAGTGGATCGGGCGGCGTGAGAGGCACGGAGGCCGTTGTAGCACTAAGCCGAGACTCCCTCTCTGCGGTTTCAGGATCTGGAGAGAATTGACATGGGAGAGGCACTCTCGCTGCCGTCCTCTGCCGCGTCTGTGCCTCCCAAGATCACCTTGCGTCTGCCTGGTCCCCGGGAGCCCCACGCTCTGGGAAACGTTCCCGGGGACACAGTGGGACAGTGGAGGGACCCCGCTGTGGGAGACACACGACAGTTTTAGATGCTACATGTAGACAAGCCCGTTTTAATGAGGCTGCTTGGCACCTTCCGAGCGGAGATGTTGTTTTAACGGAGGCGTCGTGTCCAGGGCCCTGGCCCTCAGGACGATCGCAGAGTTGAAACTTAAACTCTGGACGTAGCCGTCACTGTGTCGTCGTTTTGTGGATGAGGAACCCGCTGCGGAGCTAGGATTGGCCCCTGCACAGGGCCCGGGCAGCCAGCCTGGCTCGGCATCTGCGAGGCTGCCTCAGGGCGCCTGGGAGGCATTGTCACCTTACCTTGGGATGGGGAGACTGAGGCTCAGAGAGGGGAGTCAGGCTGTGCTAGGCCCAGCCCGGGTCTCCAGCTCCCCCGGCACCCCCCTCCGCCTGTGGGCGCCGTCACTGCCCCGGGTCCCTGGTGCTCGTCCAGACACAGGGACGCCAGGCTGGGCTTTGGACAGCGGAGTCCAGGCTGTGTCCAGGAGCCCCCGTGGCTTCGTAGCTTCTTCCGTGTCTCCTGGGCCAGTGGCTGGGGTAGCCGTGGCCCTCGGGGGACCCTGGGCCCCGCGCTCTTGCACCCCTGCTTTCCTGCGGGCCCGCTGGGAGGCGAAGCTGCCAGGGCCTCCCGCAAACATGCTTTCCGTGGCTTTCTTCAAGAACACAGCCAGCCCCTGGGACCTGGCTTCCCTCCCTCTCCCTGACTCTCTCCTCCCCGTCCTCTCCCCAAGTGGCTGCCACAGAGGAGCACCCGGAAGTGCAGGTGGAAGACACCGATGCTGACAGCCGGCCCCTCATCGCCGCCGAGGAGAGCCCTCCCTCGGCCCCGCCGCGGCCACCGTCTCCTGCCAGATCCGACACCCTCGCCGTCCCAGGCTCAGCCTCGGGGACACACAGGTCAATTTTTTATGCTTCTCTTGGGCTTTTCTCAGCACTGTGCCACCCGTCCCTGCGGCAGAGGAGGAGATCGGGGAGCAGAGCATAATCCCATAAAACACAGTCCCAAATGCACAATCCGGAATGTTGAAGCCCCAAAAGATCCAAATCCCAAAACCATAATTCTGGATAAAATAATAAAAAAGTCTTTAAAAGATATTTATTTACATTTGAGAAACATAAAAAAATATGCCACAACACTTTATGGGCCACTTTACAAGTAAATAGGGAATAAGAACATACTTTCTTTCTCTAATTTTTTTTTTCTTTTTTTTTCTTTTTTTAGAGACGAGGTCTCACTCTGTCTGGAGTGAGTACAGTGCACTCAGGCTGGAGTGCAGTGGCTCAATCATAGCCCACTGCAGTCTTGAACTCCCAGGCTCAAGTGATCCTCCCACCTCAGCCTCCCAAGTAACTGGGACTGCAGGCATATGCCACCATTCCTGGCTAATCTTTTTTATTTTTTTTAAAAGACGCTATGTTGCTCAGGCTGGTCTTGAACTCCTGGCTTCAAATGATCCTCCTGCCTCAGCCTTCCAAAGTTCTGGGATAACAGGCAAGAGGCACTGCACCAGCCCAACAGAAATATTTTTGCAAGCATCAAACACTTAGGTATACTAACGATAGTTGCACAGTATAACAATTATGAGCATATAACCTGTGCTTATAAAGAAATCAGTCAAAAAGGGAAATGTATAAATGTATATCTACAGATTACTACAATTGGTAGTTGTGTGCATCCAACTTTACAACGGGAGTCATCAGTGAACAACTTAAGTCTTTTGACGAGATGGATCAAAAACCTCGAGGCGTCACCACCGTGTGTGCAGTCCCCCAAAGAGCCAAGATCTTGAGAAATTTTACCTTTCATAGATGTACAAAATGCAGACATGCAAAAAGAACAGTTCTTCATTTATTCAGGAAGTTTCAATATTTTGGTGTACACACATGATACTGACACACAAAGTCAACGTTGTAATAACATGCTTTTATCGAACCAAATTTGTGAAAAATTCATAAAACAAATTAGAACTCTGTAAAAATCTCTGCACAATTTATACCTCCAATATTTAAAGCAATGCAAAGATAAAATACATCACATAGTGAATTTTAAACAATAATGCTAGTGGCCGGACATGGTGGCTCATGCCTGTAATCCTAGCACTCTAGGAGGCCGAGGTGGGCGGATTGTTTGAGCTCAGGAGTTCGAGACCAGCCTGAGCAAGAGCGAGACCCTGTCTCTACTAAAAAAAAAAAAAAAAAAAAAAAAAATAGAAAGAAATTAGCTGGCCAACTAAAAATATATAGAAAAAATTAGCCAGGCATGGTGGCGCATGCCTGTAGTCCCAGCTACTCAGGAGGTTGAGGCAAGAGGATTGCTTGAGCCCAGGAGTTGAGGTTGCTGTGAGCTAGGCTGAAGCCATGGCACTCTAGCCCGGGCAACAGAGTGAGACTCTGTCTCAAAACTAACAATAATAATAATAATGCTAGCAATTTAAAATAGTGAAGAAAACACTAAAAAAAGAAAAAGAAAACAAAAATCCTAAAAAACTAAAAAGCAAATGGAAAACAGTGTTACAGGGATAGATTATGGGCGATCACACAAAGATAGTCCGTAAGATTTGGCCAACTTTCATGGTCATAAGCTTGTTTTGAAGTCTTGCGTCAAGACGGATAGCTGATTTTTTTCTTTTAGGACATCAGGAGATATGTTCACATTTTCTACATGGCCCTGATCTTTTCGAAGTTCCATGATTTGATATATACTGACATGAGCACTCCCTATTACATTTTCTCATCTTCTCTGCCATGCTTCTATCTTATCTTAGGTACATGAAAATTCATTCCATGTGCATGTGTATACAGACCACAGGGTGTGACTATCCCATGATGGTGATTTGGGGGATTTTAGACATTAGAGATTTTGATATTTGAGATTTCAATATTTGGAATTACGGCATTTGAGATTGTGTCTTTCAGGATTATGATCCAAACTGATAGGTTAGAAGGGGTAATATAATAATAAATAGAATAATAATATATAATAAATGTGGCACAACTAATTCCTACCCTCTCACTTTATTTTATATTTTGACAGGACGCTATTTTAAAAACTTGAGTATGGTTATAACTTGCCAGGTCTTTTTTTAATCCTCTTAACAAATTTTAAATATACAGTATATGCACGTTGTTGTACAGCAGATCTCTAGAATTTTTCATCTTACATGACTGAAACTCTATACCCATTGAATAGCAACTCCCATTACTCCGTCCGCCGCTACCCAGCCCCTGGCAACGACCATTCTACTTTGTTTCTACACTTGACCTTAGCCAAAAGGCCAAGAAGTGATCTACTTTATGTTTCTATGAATTTGACTACTTCAGATACCTCAAATAAGTGGAATCATGCAGTATTTGGCTTTTTTGTGACTGGCTTATGTCACCTAACATATGTCCTCAAAGTTCATCCGTGTTGTAGCGTATATGACAGCATTTCCTTCTTTTTTTAGGGCTGAATGATATTCCATTGCATGTATATACCCCATTTTGTTTATCCATTCATCTGTCAATGGACATTTAGATTGTTTCCACCTCTTGGTGATTGTGAATAATGCCACAATGAACATAGGAGGGCAAATAGCTCTTCGAGATCCCAATTTCAGAACTTGGGCCCAGCAGAATGGCTCCGCAAAGAAGGGTGTGGAGAAGAAGATGGGCCATTCTGCCGTCAACAAGGGGGTGACCCGAGGATACATCATCAACACTCACAAGCGCATCCATGGAGTGGGCTCCAAGAAGCATGTCCCTCGGCCACTCGAAGAGATCCGGAAATTTGCCGTGAAGGTGGGAACTCCAGATGTGAGCATTGATACCAGGCTCAGCAAAGCCATCTGGGAACATCCCACGCCATGTCACGTGCAGTTGTCCAGAAAACATAATGAGGATGAAGATTCACTAAGCGAGCTCTATACGTCAGTGACCTAAGTACCTGTTACCACTTTCAAAAATCTACAGTCAATGTGGATGAGAACTAACCGCTGGTTGTCAGAGACGCCAAATAAAGTTCTAAAACCACAAAAACAAAAACAAACAAACAAACAAACAAAAAATCCTGATTTGAATTCTTTTGGATATATACCCAGAAGTGGGATGGATGCATCATAGAGTAGTTCTATTTTAAATTTTTTGAGAAACCTCCATACTCTTTCCATACGCTGTACCATTTTCCATTCCCACCTGCAGTGCACAGGGGTTCCTGTTCTCCACACACTCGTCAACACTTGTTGTTTTCTGTTTTTGTTTTTTGTTTTTTTCTTTGAGACAGAGTCTCACTCTTTTGCCCGGGCTAGAGTGCCGTGGCATCAGCCTCACTCACAGCAACCTCCAACTCTTGTGCTCAAGCGATCCTCCTGCCTCTGCCTTCCAAGTAGCTGGGACTACAGGCATGCGCCACCATGCCCGGCTAATTTTTTCTATATATTTTTAGTTGTCCAGCTAATTTCTTTCTGTTTTTAGTAGAGACGGGGTCTCACTGTTGCTCAGGCTGGTCTCAAACTCCTGAGCTCAAACAATCTTTCTGCCTCAGCCTCCCAGAGTGCTAGGATTATAGGCGTGAGCCACCAGGCCTGGCCTGTTTTTTGTTTTTTTAGTAATGGTCATCCCAACAGGTGTGAGGTGGTATCTCATTGTGGTGTTGATTTGTATTTCCCAGATGACCGGTGATGCCGAACACCTTTTTTATATACTTGTTGGCCATTTGTATGTCTTCTTTGGAGAAATGTCTGTTCAATTCTTTTGCCCATTTTTTTGTAATTTGTTCATTTATTTTGCTATTGAGTTGTAGGAATTTCTCATATATTTTGCATATTAACCTCTGATCAGATATATGGCTTGCAAACATTTTTTCCCATTCTGTACATTTTCTTTTCACTCCGTTGATTGTTTCCTTTGCTAAGGACATGCTTTTTAGATTGATACAGTCCTACCTGTCTATTTTTGCTTCTGTTACCTGTAGTTTTGATATACTCCCCTCACTTTATTATTAAATAATATCATGGAAACACCACAGAACGCTAGAAAAATAATCACCTCTAATCCCACCGCACAAGATGACGTTTTATTGCTCTGTATTCTCTTCCATGCCTCTTTGATAGGCCCAGGATTCTGTGTGGTTTTAATTGAAGAAGTGATCCAGGCCGGGCATGGTGGCTCATGCCTGTAATCTTAGCACTCTAGGAGGCCAAGGTCGGAGGATCACTTGAGCTCAGGAGTTTGAGACCAAACTAAAAATAGAAAGAAATTAGGTGGACAACTAAAAATATATAGAAAACATTAGCCCGGCATGTTGGCACATGCCTGTAGTCCCAGCTTCTCAGGAGGCTGAGGCAGGAGGATTGCTTGAGCCCAGGAGTTTGAGGTTGCTGTGAGCTAGGCTGATGCCATGACACTCTAGCCCAGGCAACAGTGAGACTTTATCTCAAAAAAAAAAAAAAATAAAAAGGAAGTGATGCCATGAGCCATTTCCATCTTGCTGGCTGTGTCCTTAACGCACATTCATGATGGCCGTGTGACGTTCCTCAGCTCCACGTGCTGGGAGGAATCGAACAAATCCTCTCCTGTTGGCCACTGTCACCATGGCACTAGACTTATGTCTGGCCTTCTGCTCCCTGTCCTTGGGCTGCTCTCTCAAGAGTGAGACTCTTGGTCAAGGCTGGACATAATCTTATGTCTCTTGAGACAAATCTCAGAGACATTGTGGCTGAGTGGCTGGAGTTGCTGTTGAACTTGAGGCAGGTTCTGGCAAAAGGCCCTGAACACAGCTGCAGGCACACTGCCAAGGCAGGACGGAGCCTTACGAATGGCTATTTCAGTGGAGTGGGAGCTGTCAGTGCTTCTCCTGCACTGGCTGGCTGGAGAAATGGTTCTTTCTTTCTTAATTTTTTTCTCTCATCTATGAGCTCCTGGGTAATATCTCAGCTGAGGTCTGGAGCCTGCCAGAGTGCAGATGGCTGCATGTGGCCGATTGAGGGCTCTCGGATTTTAACATGGAGAAAAGCGACAATCTCACTGAGCCTAAGCGCGCAGCTCACTGCTCCATCCGTTCCTGTGTTGAGTTCACTGAATTATGCACAAGGCACAGGAGAGGTTCCAGAAACAGTGCCACCATGCTTGTAGACATCTGCTCTACCTACCTGTGGTCCCTTTATATGGGTGGAGAAGCGATATGGACCCAGCTGGGTGGGGGGGCATATTTAGGGGTGGGTAGGGGGGAACCAAGATCATGTGAAACTAGATTCCAAGCCTCTGGCCTTCCGCATGTGAACTGGGCCTGTGAGGCTCCTCTTGTCCCCGTCACTCATTCAGAAACATTTATTGAACATTGTCATAGGTGCTGGGGATACATCAGGGTGGAGCTGACATTCTAGTGGGGCCAAGATAGAAAACGAACAAGCAACCAAACAAACAGGTGCTAAATTGAATGTGCCATGAGAAACGGGGCGAACCTCTGCCTGCAGGCCCGGACGCTGGGCAGTGCCGGGCCGGAGCTGCTGTTCCGGTCCTGGCTCTGGGCTCTCCTGGGCAGCACGAGGTCCCCGGGCTCGGGAGGGCGCACTGGGCTGGCCACAGGACTGACTTTAGTTCTCTGCTATGGGACCTTTGGCCCCAGTCTTCTTGTGTGGGGCTGTCCTTTCAATTCTAGCATGAAAGAAGTGAATCCATGGGCTTTGCCGTCCTAGGCAAGTTGGCAGAAGGTAACGGGATAGTTTTAGAGCCTTCTGGAATAAAGGTGGCTGCTGCGTGTCTCTCCTGTTTCCCCCCAGAAACCCTAACGCTGGAATCGAGAGTCATGGTGGTGGAGGCTGGGGACCAGCGCCGGCCTGGCAGCCTGGCGAGACTTGGGTTTGGGTCCCAGCCTGGGTACAAGTAATCTGCCAAGCTCACGCACCGGCAGGAGGCAGGACTAGGTTGCAAGTTCAAGCTTGCCTGATGCCGAGTCAGTGCTGTCACCTTCGTGCCAGGCCACTGGGCAGATGTGGAGACTGAGGTCCAGAGGGTGGCTGCGCCTCTCCCCTTTCCCTCTTTGCCTCCCTCCTTTGGCAACACCGTGCCCTCCACCCTCCCTCTACCCGGGAATTGGCTCTAGGTGATCTTTAGGGGTCAAAGTCACTTCGCCGTCCCCTGGGGCCCCTGCGCTCACTCAAGGCCCCTTCTACGTCTGTGTCCTTGCAGGAATAGGCTGCCCTCTCAGGATGATGAGGCCGAAGAGCTCAGGGCGCTGTCGCCAGCCGAGTCCCCCGTGGTCGCCTTGTCGGGCCCCACCACCCCGCAGGACACTGAGTGAGTGGGGCCACCTCTGGGGTCTCAGAGAGTTGGAAGGCTGGGCAGGGAAGGGTGGGGAGGGGGAGGTGGGAGGGAGCACCGGTGTGTTTAGAATCTGCACTGCAAGGCACGCTTTGCCAGTGGCTTCTGAGCAGCAGGACAGGGCAGGGGCCCCTGCCCACGCTGCTTCTGGCTGGCCCAGGAGTCCTGCAAAATCTGTACAGTGGCTGGAACTGTGGGCCCAGCTATGCCCATGATCAACCTAGAGAGGCAGGTGTCTCTAGGCAGAGGCCCCCTTGTAAAGGACATGCTGAGGGATGCCCCCTGCAGGGGCTCCTGCTGCTGAACCCCTGAAACAGCCAGTGGGGGCAGGGAGGACCGCCAGGATCTCCAGTGGTCCCACCCTGGGGAGCCCCACCCAGCTCCGCTAGCTCAGAGCCATAAGCAGTGGGCCCTGGGAATCTGCATTTCCACAAGCTCCCAGGTGCTTCTGATGTAGCTGGTCTTCAGTACCATGTGTGGTGGCCACTGTGATGCCATTGGTACCTGGGTCTCTGACCTCTAACTGTCTAGCGGGCCAGTGGGAGATGTTCTCTGAAGGGTTCCAGTAGCCCTGGGTGATGGTGAATGCCCTGGTGGCCCTGGGCTGAGGCCTGGAGTCCCCACCACACTCCCTGTCTGGACACAACTCCTGGTCTAGCCACAGGGGACAGCAGGCTTTCCTTCCTCCTTCCTGTCATTTTTTTTCTATTTCCATAATTCTATGCAGTTTATGCTTAATAGAGCTGTGGAAAGTGCAGAAAAGATAAGCAAGAAAAAAAATCCAAGCCTCACCCATAGTCAGTTGTCTATTTTGGCACACAGTGTGGGCACATTTTATGCAGTAGGGTAGGGTAGGGTTAGGGTTTAATATCAGAAAATAAGGCAGGGGCTGGGTGTGGTGGCTCACGCCTGTAATCCTAGCACTCTGGGAGGCCGAGGCAGGCGGATTGCTCAAGGTTGGGAGTTTGAAACCAGCCTGAGCGAGACCCCGTCTCTACTAAAAACAGAAAGAAATTAATTGACCAACTAAAAAAATATATAGAAAAAATTAGCCAGGCATGGTGGCGCATGCCTGTAGTCCCAGCTACTCGGGAGGCTGAGGCAGGAGGATCGCTTGAGCCCAGGAGTTTGAGGTTGCTGTGAGCTAGGCTGATGCCATGGCACTCTAGCCCGGGCAACAGAGTGAGACTCTGTCTCAAAAAAAAAAAAAGAAAAGAAAAGAAAAGAAAATAAGGCAGAAATGAGGTATAATAATTCAAATGACCCTTGGAAACCATTAAGGAGGTCAACGTGGAGGCCCATGCATCAGCTAGGGCAAGCTGCTGTAACGAGTAGACCCCAAAGTTTCAGTGGCTTAAGGAACAAGAATGTATCTCCTATGTCATAGTTGTCTCCCTAGTTGTGTGTTTCAGGGTCAGCGGAAGGGTCTGTTCCATGCAGTCATTTAGGGACCCAGTTGACAGCGGCTCTGCCACCTTCTCTGTGTGGCTTCCAAGGTCCCACTGACCACCATGGGAAAGGGACAACTGCAAGCCTCTCTTTAGCAAGGAGGCCTGAAGTTGCATGTCCCGTATCTACTCACATTCCCATGGTGAGAGCTCGCACCACCACACCTGGGAAATGCAGTCCCCGGCTGGGTGGCGACTGTGTGAAAAAAATACTCAGCTCAGCGAGATGATCACAGTGAGGCCACGCAGTGGAGAGCTGAGCACACGCTGTCTCGACTCCCCCAGCGCACACCCCCACGCTGGGTAGGACGCCAGGCAGACTCCCACGCATCCTCTCTCTCTCTTGCTACCAGCGCACAAACGTTAATTCCTATAAGTTAAAGGAGGCCGGGCACGGTGGCTCACGCCTGTAATCCTAGCACTCTGCGAGGCCAAGGTGGGCGGACGCTGCCCGGCTCCAGTCTAGGCCCCAGGGGCCCCTTCCTGCTCAGCTGTGGGTGCTGTTCCCACAGTGCCCAGGACCGTGCCGTCTCCACGGCCAGCCAGAATAGCGCCATTATCAACGACCGGCTCCAGGAGTTGGTGAAGCTCTTCAAGGAGCGGACAGAGAAAGTGAAGGAGAAACTCATCGACCCTGATGTCACCTCTGACGAGGAAAGCCCCAAGCCCTGTGAGTCTGGAGCTGAAGGTGGCCCACTGGCCAGGGGTGGGGCGGGGACTCCAAGGGCCCCTGCCAACTCCTGGTGAGGGTGGCCATAAGGAAAGGGGTGGGTGCACGAGAGAAGCCCCGATCTGCATGCTCTGGATTTGGGGCCCCGTATGTGTAGGTTTAGATCTGTACCCAGGAGGGGCAAGATCAGCGTTCTGGCCAAGAACCCAGCTGTACTTGGCTCCCTCCCCCACAGGGCAAGTACTGTCATTGACCCTCCTGCCCCTTTCCCCTGGCAGGTGGGTGGCGCCACCGGGGGATGCCTCTGAGCAACAAGGCTGTCTAGTTCCAGAGGGGGCTGTGGACACCATCTGAGTGCAAGGCCTCAGGAGGAAATAAGAGGCCGGGCGCGGTGGCTCACGCCTGTTATCCTAGCACTCTGGGAGGCCGAGGTGGGCGGATCGCTCGAGGTCAGGAGTTCGAAACCAGCCTGAGCAAGAGCGAGACCCTGCCTCAACTATAAATAGAAAGAAATTAATTGGCCAACTAATATATATAGAAAACATTAGCCGGGCATGGTGGCGCATGCCTGTAGTCCCAGCTACTCGGGAGGCTGAGGCAGCAGGATTGCTTGAGCCCAGGAGACTGAGGTTGCTGTGAGCTAGGCTGATGCCACGGCACTCACTCTAGGCTGGGCAACAAAGCGAGACTCTGTCTCAAAAAAAAAAGAAAAGGAGGAAATAAGAAACATGCTGTCTTGCCAGAGAGATCTTTCCAGGCCTTTCCAGAGGAGGTCTGTGCCTTGGAACTCATGGTGTCCACAACAGACCTAGCAGAACCTTCACAGTCCCGAAGCTAGGAACATAGCCATATTGAACCTGTAAGAGCCCCTCCCTATGTCACAAAAAGCACCCTTACTGTGATCCCACCCAGCCTCTCTGTGTAGAGACGAAGGAGCTAGGATTCCTTCTCAGAAACGTAGAGCAACATTTCTCTGATTCCATTTTGTTGGGCCCGTTAGCATTTCGACCGTGGTGGGGGGAGCGCTGGGTACAAAATGCCCCGAAAGCATCAGAGAACCAAGGGGGTCCAAACACAGACACACAAGCAGACGCTGAACCCTCCAACGTGCCCACAGATACCTCATCTGGGTGGCTGCGGAGGGGCACTTCCAGACTGGGAGCAGCCAGGAGTTTCTGGGTGGGCTCCCCGGCTTCCGTGGAAGAGGGAGCGTTGGGGCTCGCTCCAGGAGAGCACCCCGCTTTCTGCACACGGAGCTTGCAGCAGACCGTGTCATGGTGCCAGGGTCCCCTCAGCTCCAGTCCCAGGGTCTGTAGTTGGAACCCTTCTCTCTGCATCCTCCGCCTGGGCCTCAGGGCTGGGTCCGGTTGTCACCAGTGTCGCCCCACAGCCCCAGCCAAGAAGGCCCCGGAGCCGCCTGCAGACGCGAAGCCGGCAGAGGCACAGCAGGCCGAGGAGGAGCACTACTGCGACATGCTCTGCTGCAAGTTCAAGCGCCGCCCCTGGAGGATGTACCGCTTTCCCCAGAGCATTGACCCGCTGACCAGTGAGTCCTTGGTGGGAGCGGGGCCCCCCGCTGGGTCACAGGACAGGGCAGGAGGGGGGCGAGGGGAGGGCTGGTTGCAGGGGGATGCGAGAGGCAGCGTGAGAGGCTATGGACATTCTGGATTTGTGACCTTCTGTGCTTTTCTAAAGGACTCCACACTTCACTCACCTGAGTCTTAAAACAAAAAAAAAAACAGGAGGCCGAGGCTGGAGGATCACTCAAGGTCAGGGGTTCGAGACCAGCCTGAGCAAGAGCGAGACCCCGCCTCTACTAAAAATAGAAAGAAATTAATTGGCCAACTTAAAATATATACAAAAAATTAGCTGGGCATGGTGGCGCATGCCTGTAGTCCCAGCTGCTTGGGAGGCTGAGGCAGGAGGATTGCTTGAGCCCAGGAGTTTGAGGTTGCTGTGAGCTAGGCCGATGCCATGGCACCCTAGTCCGGGCAACAAAGTAAGGCTCTGTCTCAAAAAAAAAGAAAAAAACAAACAACAACAACAAAAGTCCCTGGAATAGGAACATGAGATCATACCCATCTTACAGATGCGTAAATTAAGGCACTGTGAAGGTAACCAGGCTAAAGACACAGTTAGTTAATACAGACCCGGGGCTCCTGACCCTTGGCCAAGTCTTCCTGCTCTGGCCATGCTGGCTCTTCCCTGGGTCCCCAGTTTTGGGCAGAAAAGGGCAGAGTTCTTCCAGCGTCTAAAGTGAATTCCCTGGCTTCCCTCTAAGCCATTCCGCGTTCCGTAGGAACACGCCACTTTGTGTGTGCACCATGTGTCACAGCTTACAGAGGACCTCCCTGCCTCTCGCATCTGCCCTTCTCCTGTGGCTGCTCTGAGAAGGGCATGGCAGGTGCCAGAGAGGGACTTTCTTAAGGTCACATAGGAAATCGTTTGTGGGCAAGACTCTGACCCTGGGCTTCTAAAATGACCAGGTGATCTGCAGTGTCTGTCCCTCCACTTACCCCTCCACTTGTCTGTCCACCCATCTGTCCATCCTCCATGCAGCGTTTACCATTCCGTATTCACTAAGGCAGGAAATCCAGTTTTGGAAAGATTTTAAAAAGAATGAAAGTAAAAGGGTTTCCTTCCTCGTTAGCTGTCTTATTAGCTAATAATGTCACCATATTCCCTCCTCAGAGTACCCCGATTTATTAGGGCCCAGCAGTGATTTATTTATTTATTTATTGAGACACAGACTCTCACTGTGTTGCCCAGGCTAGAGTGAGTGCCGTGGCGTCAGCCTAGCTCACAGCAACCTCAAACTCCTGGGCTCAAGCGATCCTCCTGCCTCAGCCTCCCAAGTAGCTGGGACTACAGGCATGCGCCACCATGGCTGGATAATTTTTTCTATATATTTTTTATTTGGCCAATTAATTTCTTTCTATTTTTAGTAGAGACAGGGTCTTGCTCTTGTTCAGGCTGATCTCGAACTCCTGACCTCAAGCGATCCACCCGCCTTGGCCTCCCAGAGTGCTAGGATTACAGGCGTGAGCCACCGCGCCCGGCCAGTGATTTATTTTTAAAGCAAAGATAGTTTCACACACTCACACCCAGCTTCCAAAGTGCCACGTGCTGTAGTTGGAGGAAGGTGCAGACAGGTAGAATGAGGTTGCCTCATTCACCTGATGTTCTTCACCTGATGCCACCGGGGAAGAGCCTTTTCTGGCTGACGTTCTAGAATGTTCCTGCCCCCTCCTTCCCGGCAGACCTGATGTACATCCTGTGGCTGTTCTTCGTGGTGCTGGCCTGGAACTGGAACTGCTGGCTCATCCCCGTGCGCTGGGCCTTCCCCTACCAGACGCCGGGCAACATCTACCTCTGGCTGCTGATGGATTACCTGTGCGACCTCATCTACTTCCTGGACATGACCTTGTTCCAGATGCGCCTGCAGTTTGTCAGAGGCGGGGACATCATTGTGAGTCACAGGCAGGCGGAGCGGGTGACCAGGGGCAGACCCCCAGCCAGAGCCTTCAGGGGACTGACAGCAGACGCCGTCAGAGACAGCAAAATAAGTGAGCGAGGAAGTCTCAGGGACGGCTGCCCGTGCTTGCACAGCAGCGTGGTGGCTTGTCTGACACACGCCTTTAACATGCTCACATGAACACATCAGGTATTGTTCTTGGGGAATCAGTCCCTGCACCACCTGATGGATTTAGAGATGGAGAATGGCCTTGAGTGTGCGTGCACTTGGTTCGAATCCCAGCTTCACCACAACTAGCCGAATCCCCTCTCTGAGCCTCAGTTTCCTTATCTGTAGAATGGGGACAGACCTCATCCCCACCCCGTAGCGCTGCAGTGGGGACGAGTTGGATGCTGTATGCAGAGAGCTCGGCACAGGTAACCGCTGGCCACCGACATTTCCTGGACCTCCTGCGAAGGACACGCCGATGCCCTCCCCGGCGGCCAGATTGAGACCCTGTGCTCTGGTCTAGCCCTCGCTTCCCAGGGAGGACTGAGGCCCCGATTGTCACTTATCAGGAGCAGGGGGCACAGTCCCCATCTCCCCGTGCCAGTCACTTTCCAGAATTCCACACTGGTGGCACCTGCTCCACTGTGTGCAGACAACTTAGAGGAAAGAGAATCCCTTGGCCAACCTCCTCCCTGGTCTGATCCTCGGCAAGTAAAGCCGGTCCGGGGAGGACCAGTGGGCGAGACAGAGAGTGTGACATTCTCGCTTTCCATCCACGCAATCAGAACCCAGCGGGTGACCTGGTGCTCCCATAGGAAGGCGAGGCTCTTGGAGGGTTTGCACCGCTGCCCCGAGTAGCAAAGGGTCAGGGATTAAGCTCCAAGATCGATCACTGTCGTTATTCCATTTTCTTCCAGACGGACAGAAAGGACATGCGAAATAACTACCTGAAGTCTCAGCGCTTTAAGGTGTGTGCCAGGGATGCCAGTTTTAGTGTCCACGGGGTCTCAGAAGGGGATGTCTCAGAGGCCCTGGGTGCTTTGGGGGCCCATGGGATGTGGTCCTGCCACACGGGGGATGCAGGTGCCGCCTCCATGGGGGTGTCCCGCAGGCCACAGGCCCCAGGAGACCAGCCCAGGCTGGGTGGCCCGCACAGGCCACCTTTCATGTGTCTGTGCCACGCCAGTTCCCGCTGTGCGGCACGGCAGCCACTACTACCCACGGTGATGGAGCCGCCCTGGGGTTGGGACATGGGCTTTAAGGCCAAACCGGGGTTTGCTGGCGGGACACCTTCTGCGGTCTCACCTTCCCACTGACGGGAGAGACCCCCAGACCCCCGCCCTTAGCCCCGGGCCCGCCTGGTTTACTGTGGCGTGGGCTGCTGTTTCAGATGGACATGCTCTCCCTGCTGCCCTTGGACCTTCTCTACCTGAAATTCGGTGTGAAACCCCTCTTTCGCTTGCCCCGCTGCCTAAAGGTAGGACTGGCCCCGCCACGCCAGGCCCTCAGCTCCTCCGTCAGCACTGGTGTCTTAATGTCACCCCAGCAGCACTGGGGAGGGAGAGGCGTCCTTGCGGGGTGGCCCGAGGGGAGACGCATTTATGCCGGACGCGTCTTCGTGGAAAGTTCGTTACGATTGCTCGTGCTTCCTGTGGTTGCTCGTACTTCCTGTGGTTGCTCGTGCTTCCTGTGGTTGCTCGTGCTCCCTGTGGTTGCTCGTGCTCCCTGTGGCACTCGCTACATGTTAGGCATCATTCCAGGGACTTCACAAGTGCCTGCTCCTCAACCCAGGATGGGAGGGGTAGTAACACCATTTTACAAATGAAGGGACTGGGGCACAGAGAGTTTAAGTCATTTGCCCCAGGGCACACAGCCAGGAAGGAGTGCAATGGGGATTTGAATGCAGGCAGTCTGTCTCTACTGTTTATGTGGTCAGTAGCTACAGACACTCTCAAGAGAAGGGCGTCTGTTCAACGACGATCTCTGTCTAAAAGATGGGGACGTTGCCAAAGTTGCAAGAGCGAGGAAGTGCCCGGGACGGATTTGAGTGCACACCCCGAACCCTTTCCATCAGTGCTCGGCGCTCAGGGTCATTCCAGCCGTTTCCTCTGCTACTCAGCGGGCAGAGCCGGCGTCCCAGGGAGGGTCTGGCTGGCACAGCACGGACGGGAGACCTGGTAACCGTCCTCAGTGTGACCAGCGTGGATGGCCACTCAGCACACTCGGGACCCCCCAAATGGATTTTGCTGGCCGACCACCTATATTCATGTCTCTCCTGACATGATGCCTGGTGTCTTTTTCCAAAAACAGTACTGAAGGAATTTACCCAAAAAAAAAAAAAAAAAAAGCAAATGCAGTAACATTAAAAACCCAGAGGAACAGGGCAGAGAAAAGCAGGAGGCCTGCAAGGGCCCGATGAGAGAAAGCGCACCGGGCTGGGCTTGAGCTCGGAAGCTGCCTCTGAACTTCCTGGCTGCCAAGAGCAAGGGGGACCGTAAATGGCACCATTCTCATCTCACACATGCCGGCCTCCCAGGGTTGCAAAGAGTTTGTTTGGCCTTAGAGCCAAACATCGGAAAGAGCAAGGTCGAGTCCACAGGCCAAGTTTTACCCCAGATACAGAGGGGAGGTGCGTTCACGCAGTGGCCCTGGTGAGTGTGCGTAACTCACGGGCCTGACATTTAGCTCAACCCAGAGGATGCGGCTCTGAGAGGGACCCGGGCTCGCGGTCATTCTGCATCCGGTTTAAACTCTGCGTGGAAATTAGCATGGACACTCGGATGACGACTGGCGTAGCCCTTAGGGAATCTGCAAAGATACTATTGCCAGATATCGAAAATCAACGTGTGCAAAGATCTGGAGGTGATGTAGCACGATGGAAAGAGCTCGCAGCTTTGCGTTCCACCCGGGTTCTGGCGCTGACTCTGTCACGAACCAGCCGTGCTCCGGACAAGCTACTGGACTTCCCCGGGTGCCAGCTTTCTCTCTGTCTAAGGAGAATGATAACACCTCCCTCGCGTGTAGATAGGAATAGGGTAACGTATACAACGTGCCAGTCGTGTAACAGGTGCTCGAGGAAGGAGAGTAGTTACGACTAGACTTTTATCATTACAAATGAGCCTTTGAAGGATGGAGGGAGGGGTGCTAGGGACGCTGTTGCTTTACGAAGTGGTTTTGTTTATAAGTAAACAGGTTAAACAGCGTCCTTAGCCTGGGACACATGCATCCCTGAAAGTTTCAGGGCAGGATTCGGGAGGTCCCCGCGTCCCCTGAAATCATATGCGAGTTGTGAGAACGTGACTCTGTGTCGTTTCTGGTGGGCCCTGGCTTTCGTCAGGCTCCTGAGTGGAGTTTCTAGCCTCCGCCCCTCAGGGGCTGAGGACCCCTGAGTCTGAGCACTCGCTGTCCTGTCCCCTCCTCCCGAGAGCTGCAGAAAGGGCCCTCGGTCCTGGCGCCAGAGGGGCAGGGGCAGCGTGACGGCGGGGGCAGCGTGACGGCAGGGGCCTGGGCTGCCCTGATGCCTCGCTCTTCCCGCAGTACATGGCCTTCTTCGAGTTCAACAACCGCCTGGAATCCGTCCTCAGCAAAGCCTACGTTTACAGGTGAGCCCCGCCCCACGCACACACAGCACGCACAGCACGCATGCGTACAGCACGCACACACAGAATGCACAAGAAGCAGGCACAGCACGCACACACAGAATGCACAAGAAGCACACACAGCACGCATGCGTACAGCACGCACAGGACGCACACACAACACGCACAAGAAGCACACACAGCATGCACAGGACGCAGGACGTTTGCAGCGAGAACAGAGGGAGCACGGCATTCTCTCCCCCGTTGCTCCCCCTCTCGGGTGCCCCCGGCCCTCCAGGCCCCGTTGCCACCAGAAGCGGGCTCTTCCCGGCCCAGCCTCCTCTTCTCCACACCAAGAATATCCCGTCCCCCATCGTGATGAGGGCACACGTAGGCTGGCGTGAGGGCCTCCCAGCATGGCCAGCAGCACCTCATTTTGGCCTCAGCTTAGGGAACTGAAGCCCCGAGCCAGCTCGAACAGAACAGGACTGGCTGTGAGGTCACAGCGGGCCATGTCACGATGACCAAGGCTGGGCACGAGAGCAGCCAGGCTGCGCTTGGGGCACGAGGCTCTGTCCGCATCTCTCATGGGGTGGGGGGCGGGGCCCAGCCTCTGTCTTTCCTTGTCTGCACGTGTCTGTCCCCTCCGCGGTCCTCCCCATGGATACGTTTCCCCTCTGGCCCCTCCGCACCCCCGAACCCCTCTGTGCAGGTAGCCCTGATACCCCGTGCCGAGTCCAGCCCAAGCCTTGAGGACGTTCTGTTTAAGCGCCACCATTTCTAATTGGCACAGTCCCCAGAACGCATCCAGGGGCCAGCCCTGGTTGATTCTCACTGGCCGGTGTCTGTCCCTCCAGGTGGCCGGGCAGGGCAGTGCATGTCCCAACGGGGGGACCTCGGAGGTCTGGGGGAGGTGAGGACTGGCTCGTTCCTTGTAGTCCCGGCCCTTGAGCGGGTTGTCACCGCCTCCCTCTCTGCCACTGTGTCCATGCGTCTCCCTTCTTCTGCAGGGTCATCAGGACCACGGCCTACCTCCTCTACAGCCTGCACCTGAACTCCTGTCTCTACTACTGGGCGTCGGACTATGAGGGCATCGGCTCCACTCACTGGGTGTACGACGGTGTGGGGAACAGGTGAGCCGCGGCCTTCCCCCTGGGCCACACCCGGGCGGCATTCCTGGGCTTTAGTTCCAGCACAGAGACTCCCGGAAAAAATGCCATTGCCGCTGTGCTGCCAGGGCCACTTTGCTCCTAAGGAGTCACTGACAGGTGAAGGTTCAAGGGCCAAGTCTCCACGTCTTCTCTGTGCCAAGGTGTCCTTCCCAGCTGCCGTGCGTTGGGCGGTGGGGTACAGACGTGAGCAAGACTTGCTAGAAAGATCCTGGCAGCATCCCAAGGGCCGGTGGGGTTGGCAAATACGCTGCTCGCGAGCCTCCACCCGTCCAGCCCTTCCTCCACGGCAGTGCTCGTTTCCCAATGCCACCCCGCAGGGAACCCCAACACGGAAACAGCGCACGTAGCAAAGGGGAATTCTTCAGAAGTCCAGTAGCGTGAAAAATAACCACTCTTAGAAGCCACCGTTTGTGGAGGGCTTAGGCCCCGAGCCCTGCGTGTGCTTGGTCCCACGTCCTGTTCCGGGCGCCTCCTGCCGGGCTCTGCCCAGACTGGGGCATGGAGGGGCCCCACAGACCCAGTAGCATGGGATGCCAGGACTTCAGGAAGGTCTCTAAGATGTGTCATGACAATGGAAGATGCCGCCAGCCAGGGCGTGGGGAGAAGCCGGAGATTTGAGGACATGGCTCCTGTGTCCTCTCTGTTGGTGACGCAGCGGCACCTGCACCTTGGGAGCTGCTCGTCAAAGGCTGCTTCGTGCGCCCTCTAGTGGCCACAACCAGTACGGCAGGGCTTGATCGGCCGCCTTGTCCCGCAACTTGGCGGCAACAGGTGATAAAGACGGACAGGGAGGCCCCGCCCCCCACACTCCCTAGCAACCGCTGTTTCCTCTTCCCAGTACTCATCGCACATGAGTAGCCTGTCCCCGCTGGACAGCACGCAGGCTTCTTGAGCACATGCGCGAGTCTGTCCCGTCCCCCGCTGCAGGCACCTGGCAGGCACCCGTGATGCCTTAGGCTTTGACAGCTGCCTTGCTGAGAGCCCAGCGCCTACCAGGCACTCTTCTAGCGTCTCGTTTTGTCCCCATGGTCGCCTGGGAGGGTATTCTGTTGCCTTCCCCGCTTTATGGGGAAGGAGACTGAGGCTGGCAGAGATTGATAATTTGTCCAAGCTGTGAAGCAAGAAAGCGGCTGGGCAGGGCGGGAGCCCAGGCCTTCTGGCTCCAGAGCTGGTGTCCTACTTATGACGCTGCGTAAATAGCTGGTGAACGGAGCCCAGGGAGGCGCAGCGAGGCCACCCTTCTGCTCACCTCTGGGAGGGCTCAGCCTGAAGGTGTGGACAGGTGTGTGAGGGACTCTTGCTGCTTTGTGATAATTAGACAAGCTCAGTGTCTCAGTCCTTTTGTGCTGGTATTAATATAGCAAAACACTGGAAGCTGGGTAATCTATAAAGAACAGAAATGTGTTTCTCCCAGTTCGGGAGTCTCGGAAGTCCAAGATCCAGGTGCAGGCAGGTTTGGTGTCTGTTCAGGGCTCAGTCTCTGCTGCCAAGACGGTGCCTTGTTCCTGCCCCCCGTGGAGGGAGGAGGCTGTTTCCATAGCAGAAGGGACAGAACAGTAAAAGGGGATCAAACCCCCTCCATCAAGCCCTTTTATAATGGGGTTTATTCATGAGGGGAAAACCCTCACGCCCCAAACAGCTCCCAAAGGCCCTGCCTCCCAGCACTATTGCATTGGGAATTGAGTTTCCAACACATGAGTTTTGGAGGTCACATTCAGGCCACATTCAGCACTTGGGGCATTTCGTATGCCTTTCACCCCACAGTAGGACCCCATCACCCACACCCCCCTGCCTGAACCCCCATGTGTCAGGGGGTTACTGATGGCAGGATGACAGCTCAGAGAAGTGGACAGCACCCTGGGTTCTAGTCCCAGCTCTGGAAGTTGCCAGTTGGTGACCGTGGGTATTCCCTTTCCCTTTGAGGGCCTCAGTTTGTCTGTCTGGAAAATGGTCGGGCAAGGGAGAGGGTCAGAAAAGTTGGTCCTCAAGATATCGTCCAAGTCTGATGTTTCTCTTGCTTTCCATGAACCAACGCAACAGGGAATAGCAAAGGGCAAGCCAGTGTCAATTACAGGAACATGGAAGGAGTTGAAGGAGCCCAGCCAGCAGGAGTCAAGAGACCCTCGTCTATCCTCCTGCCAACTCTTCCTAGGAATCTCCTGGGGCCTCAGTTTCCACATCTGTAAATGAGGACGAGAGCATGTCCCTGCAGGGTTGTGGGAAAATCCACAACCAACCCAGATAGCTGCTCTCAAACTGCAGCATGCTCTGCACGTGGGAGAGTGTTTGTGTTGCATTTATGAGCTATTAAAGGGTCTCTCTCTTTTGCACGATATGCATCTATCAGAGGTGTCTGAGCCAGGACACCCAGGGTCAGCAGATCGGGGCCCCTGGTGACCGAGATGCTTTTTTCTCTTCTCTCTCTCCAGTTACATTCGCTGTTACTACTGGGCTGTGAAGACCCTCATCACCATCGGTGGGCTGCCTGACCCCAGGACGATCTTCGAAATTGTCTTCCAGGGGCTGAACTATTTCACGGGCGTCTTCGCTTTCTCTGTGATGATTGGACAGGTAGCTGGGGCACCAGGCTGGCTTCCCTCCCACCTGACTGCGGGCCCCCTTCCTGCTGCTGCCTGGAACGTCACCCTCTGTGCCTGTTCCTTCTGGGCTAAGCCTGGGGAAGAGCACTGGCCCGGGAGCCAGGAGCCTGGGCCCCGCACATTTCCCGTCCCCTCTCTAAGGCCATTCCCACTTGAAATGTCCATCGCTTCGGGGTATCTGCAGGAGCTGGGCTGGATGGTTTTCTGCAAAGGCTGGGGATTCAGGCTGCTCCCTTCGAGAGAAACCCCTGGTGTTTCCAACATGTGGGGGGGCATCTTATATTCCAGCCAGCGCACGAAGTGACCGTTGGGGGTCCCCATAGTTGCCTTGGAAGGGCCCTACCCTGAGGAACAGTATCTCCTCCGGAGTTAGACACCAAGGGGCCATGCTGTCCCAGAATCAGCCCAGCCCAGCAAGGTGTTCCCTCCTCGTTTGGTCCCCGGGAGCTGAAGCCACCGCAGAGCCCGGCAGCCTCACTCCCCCTTCCCATGTTCGTGCTGGAGGCAGAACTTCCCGTCATAAACCCTTCTCTGTGCATGGACATCTGCCTTCCTCCCTCCCCACCCCGGCACCCCGCCCGCTTGCACGCGCACCTGCTCCTGGCCTGTGTAAAGTGACACGCCTGCAACCCACTGAGTGGCCCCACTCTGGCCCAGTGGCTCCCTTGACCTGGCCTAACACGTTCCCCCAGATGAGAGACGTGGTGGGGGCCGCCACCGCAGGGCAGACCTACTACCGCAGCTGCATGGACAGCACGGTGAAGTACATGAACTTCTACAAGATCCCCAAGTCCGTGCAGAACCGCGTCAAGACCTGGTACGAGTACACGTGGCAGTCGCAAGGCATGCTGGGTAAGACTGCTCCCCCCCACCCCGGCCCCAGCCAGCTCTGGTTGCCTGGTGCCCTGGGGGCCTTCCGGGGCCTCCTTCACCCTCTGTGTCCCTGGGGCTGCGGCCCCAGATTTAAGTGAGAGGGGCCCAGCGAGGCCCGTGATGTGCCTTGTGCTGGGCCAGTACAAGACCCCAAAAGAACGGGCTTGTCTTCTGGGGCCCCCCCGCACCGCACCCACCTCGAAACGCATCCCAGCAAAGAGGGAAGCACAGTGTAAGTCAGGAAAGAAGGAAGACCCTCCCGTATTTCCTCTCCCTCACTCCCCCTCCGCCTCTTCCACTCTCCCCCTCCCACCCTCGTCCACCTGTCTGTCTGTCTGTCTGTCTGTCTCTCATGGGCACCGCAGGCCCCACGGCAGGTGCAGGGACTTAGCGCCAGCTGCCCTGGAGCTGGAGCCGCGCAGCTCGGGAGGGATGGTGGTTCCACCCCCTGTGCTGCGTGGCTGGGGGCAAGCCACTGCCCTTTCCTCGTCTGTAAAGCAGGGACTGTAGTCGGGGTCTCTCTTGGGTTGCTGGATTTAATAGAATAATCTTTGTAAAACAGTTAGTAAAAAAGTTCCCAGCTCATAGAAGTGCTTGATAGACTTTACTTTTTATTTCTTTTTTATTTTTCTGTTTTTATTTTTTTTTTGAGACACAGTCTTACTTTGTCACCTGGACTAGAGCATCGTGGCATCAGCCTAGCCCATAGCAACCCTCAAACTCCTGTGCTCAAGCATCCTCCTGCCTCAGCCTCCCGAGTAGCTGGGACTACAGGCATGCTCGGCTAATTTTTCCTATTTTTAGTAGAGACAGGTCTCACTCTTGCTCAGGCTGGTCTCGAACTCCTGAGTTCAAACAATATGCCTACCTCGGCCTCCCAGAGTGCCGGGATTACAGGCGTGAGCCACTGCGCCCTTCGCGGTGGCCACCGAGGCCTTCCATAGGGTTGAGTTCTTGCCAGTGTTGTTCTGCCAGTGTGAGTGGGGAAGACGGACCATCAACAGTTGCCATGAAGGCTGTGATAAGAGCCAGGGCGCAGGGGCTGCTAACAGTAGCTGGGTGGGAGGTGTCAAGGGAAGGCTTCCTGGAGGAGGTGGCATGAGTGCTGGTTCTGAAGAACGAGTAGGAGTCGGTCGGGGTGCACAGGGGTGTTCCCAGCAGAGGAAACGGTATTGGCAAAGGGCTGGCGGTTCTCTCTGCATCTCGGGCGGTCCCCCGTGGCGGGGGAATGGTGTGCCGGGCGGGCAGCGCAGGGGGACTTGCCCTCGTGTGCGTGGTGGAGAGGGGCTGGGCCGCCTCTGACCCTCGCCAGGTCTCCTTCCCAGACGAGTCCGAGCTGATGGTGCAGCTTCCGGACAAGATGCGGCTGGACCTGGCCATCGACGTGAACTACAGCATCGTCAGCAAGGTGGCGCTCTTCCAGGTACGCCAGCCCCGCCCTCACCCCCGCCGCGGCCCCAAGCCCAGACCTCCCTCTAAGCGGAGCTCCTTTGCCCTCCTCCGCAGGGCTGTGACCGGCAGATGATCTTCGACATGCTGAAGAGGCTTCGCTCTGTCGTCTACCTGCCCAACGACTACGTGTGCAAGAAGGTGAGGCGGCTGCACGGGGATGTGGGCCGGAGGGGCACGGGTGACGGCCGGGGAGGCTTGCAAGCCCGGCCGAGCAGGATTGTTGGGGAGGGACAGCGGCGGCTGCAGCTCCACGCACCCGTGCCCCGACCCGACCTGGAGCGGATCAGGGGCCTTATCGGCTCCAGGCAGCGAGCACAAATGTGCCTCCGGCTTCCCAGAGCAGTTCCACGGACGGCTCTCTCCACCTGGGACCTCGGGGGTCTGCATGAGGACCCCCACCGCACAAAAAGGGAAACCGAGGAGCCTGAAGAGGGGCAGGGCCTTGACCGTGTAGATGGAACTGCTTCCAGGGTCTCGGTCTTCCCATCGAGAGAGGAGTGGGCCAAGGTCAGAGGCTGCAAACTGGTGGCCCTTGGGTAGGAGCCAGCCCACAGGTATTTTGTGGGTTCTTTTCTAATCTTTTTAAAAAAATAGTCGAATTAGTCCCCGACCTCTAAACATTGGACGGTTTCACATAAAGACCCAGATCTCAGGCGGAACCCAGAAACTGTGCTCGCACGGGGTCCCACTTTCCCAGACAGCGAGAGCCGGCTGCGGGGCAGGAAGGGCTGTCCCACAGGGGGCGTCGTGCCCTCTCCTGCCCCCACAGCCCCACCACCGCCCGCTGCCCTAGCCCAGGCCCCCTGCCCTGCCTGGTACCACCTGTCTGTGGCATCCGGGGAGAGGCCAAGGTCACTCCGCGAGTAAGGGGAAGGAGGGGCAGGAACCCAGGCCTCAGTCGTCTCGTACAGAGCTGTCAACGAGGCTGGCTGTGTCCCCGGTTCAAATCCGGGTGCCCCCTAAGAAAAGGGGCTGGGAGTGTGAACAGGGGTGACGATATTGCCCAGGCGGGCTCTGTGAGACTTGGGAACGCCCATCTCTGGAAGGCCTCTGGCTCCAGGCTCCATGCTGTGCAGCGGTGAAGTTTCTGGAAGCAGAGAGCTGGGGGCAGAGGGGAAGAGGGTGCTGAAGATGGCTGAGAATTTAAAGCCGCAGTCTTAGGGGGGCCAAGAGGGGTCTGGGAACAACAGAGTGACTTTTCTGCCATTGGAGCCACTTCCTCGCTGTGTAGCCGTGGGCAAGTGGCTTGCCCTCTCTGAGTCCTGCTCTTGTCATGGGAAAAGTGGGGATATTTATAGTTGTGAGGATTGAAGAAGATGTGCATACAGTCTGGCACCGTGCCGGGCGCAGAAGAGGTGCAGGCGCTGTTGCTGCCATCCTCGTGGGTAGTGTAGCGTTTGCTTTAGATGAGAAGAGGAGAACCAGGTGTTGGGCGGGGTGTCTGCAGGTTAAATCCAGCACTTGGTGAGCGCGTGTGAACAGCGCCCTCTGCTGTCCGGTTTTGCTCTGCAACATTCTCTCTGAGACACGCAGGGCTGGCTAGTGAGGTGAGGGCCCCCAGCCTTCCGCTGGTGTGAAACTGCACAGAAACAGACAAAGCCTCCTCCTTTTTGGCAAGAGGGCCTTGCATGTCTGAGATGCACAGGAAATGTGTCGAATAAATCAAAAGTGTAACCAAGTTACCGTCCTTGCTCTCTACCCGCTTTAAAAATTTTTTTATTTATTACATTTTCTATAGACCTGCTTTGTGATCAGGTCTCTGCCCCTTTTAACCACACCAGGGGTGACCGAAAGGTAGCAGACGGGGCAGGGGCCTATGAGGGCGAGAGTATTGGAAGGCACAGGCAGGCTGGGTGTTTCTGATTGCAGTCCGGAGCAAGCCATTCATTCATTCATTCATTCATTCAGTTTAATTTGGGATTAAGACCACTGTGTTAGTTTGCTAGGGCTGCCGACGTACAGCACAACTGTCCCTTGTCTTGCAGCGGCCACTTCTCTGTGTCTCCTCCCATCATCTTCCCTCTATGCCCATCTCTGTGTCCACATTTCCCTTTTTATAAGGACACCAGTCGTACTGGATTGGGGCCCACCCTACTCCAGGCTGACTCCATCTTAATTAAAGCAATGACATCTGCAATGGCCCTATTACCAAAATGTTGCTGGGGATCAGGATTTCAGCATATGAATTTTGGGGCGGGGGCAAAATTCAACCCATAACAACCATGGCCTCTGGAACCAGACTGTCTGGGTTCAAATCCCACTCTGCCTCATCCTAAATGTGTGACCTTGAGCAAAGAGTAATCCTGTCTCAGAGGCTTGTTGGGAATTAGGTAGGTATAATCACCTAAAGCAATCAGACCAGTGAGTGCCTGTCCCAGAAAAAGTGTTGTGGACCTGTTGGATTTTATTATTGTTGCTGTTGTTATCATTCCTGCCGCAGTTAGCAAATGCTTACCAAGCTCCCCCTAAGTGCTAGGCGTGGATATGAGTTTATGGTATGAACCACTCACTGCTGGGTGTGCCGTGCCTGCACGTGGGTCTGATTGGAAACTTGCAAAACTTTCTGTTCCATGACACCACTAACTCCCCACCATAATCCCGTGAGTTTGGCAGGGCAAGGGGTGGTCACTCCACCCGGTGTGCAGGTGAGGAGACTGAGGCCCAGCAGGGGAGCGACTGGCCCCACACCTGACACCGCCTCACGGTGGCAGGGCCAGAGCCCAGCCTGCGTCCCTCCTTGCTGGACCTCCCGCCCCCGGCCCAGCACTGGCTGCTTCCCTGGTGGCTTTGGGGGATGGGCAGAGGGACTGGCGGCTGGCTCCTGTGTTTCAGGGGGAGATTGGCCGCGAGATGTACATCATCCAGGCGGGGCAGGTGCAGGTTTTGGGCGGCCCCGATGGGACGGCCGTGCTGGTGACGCTGAAAGCTGGATCTGTGTTCGGAGAGATAAGGTCAGAGGGGAGCGGGGGTGAGACCAGGGGCCCTGGCCAAGGCCGGGGACAGGGAGGGGGCTGGGGAGGGGGGCGGGGGGCCTGGGGGTGGCAACGAGGAAGGCGTTGGGGATTAGCACTGGCACCCGCGTGGGCCACGTTGCGCAGCGGGTGACGATGAAGACCCGAATGTGGTCAAGCATGCAGCCTCCGAATGTTCTCGCCCTTCCCTTCTCCGCCCAGCTTGCTGGCTGTTGGGGGCGGGAATCGGCGCACAGCTAACGTGGTGGCCCACGGCTTTGCCAACCTCTTCATTCTGGATAAGAAGGACCTGAACGAAATTTTGGTGCATTATCCTGAGTCTCAGAAGTTGCTCCGGAAGAAGGCCAGGTATGTAACTTTTCTTTTCATTTAAGAAAAGATCACTTAAAGACAGAGACTTCCTCTTACCTACCCACAGTACCTTTATCAAAGTCAGGAAATGTGTGGCCGGGCGCGGTGGCTCACGCCTGTAATCCTAGCACTCTGGGAGGCCAAAGCGGGCAGATTGCTCGAGGTCAGGAGTTCGAAACCAGCCTGAGCAAGAGCGAGACCCTGTCTCTACTATAAATAGAAAGAAATTAATTGACCAACTAAAAATATACATACAAAATTAGCCGGGCATGGTGGCGCATGCCTGTAGTCCCAGCTACTTGGGAGGCTGAGGCAGCAGGATCGCTTGAGCCCAGGAGATTGAGGTTGCTGTGAGCTAGGCTGACGCCACGGCACTCACTCTAGCCTGGGCAACAAAGTTTTTTTAAAAATTTTAAAAATTTTTAAAAATTTTTTTAAAAATCAGGAAACGTGGTATTGGAACAAAGCTATTTTATCTCATCTATAATCCATATTCAGATTTGCTGATTTTCTCAGTAGTGACTGTGATAGCTTTTTTTTCTTTTCTTTTTTTTTAATTTTCTTTTCCACCCACCCCCAACTTTTATAGCTTTGCTTTTCTCCTTGTCCATCCCTGGATGAATTCCAGGGTCACACATTGCCTTGAGGCGCCCTGTAGTCTTAGTCCCTTGATCTGGGACAGGTCCTCAGTCCTCTTCTACCTTGAATGACCAAAGTCATTCAAGTGAACAGTTACTTTGTAGAATGTCCCTCAATTTGGATTTGATGTTTTCTCGTAGTGACCGTCAGGTCCTGAATTTTTGGCAGGAATATCCCAGCAGCAACGTTGTCTCTTTCTCGGGGAGCGTGTGGAGAGGCACGTGATGCTAGTTTCTCCCAACTTTGATGATTTTTGCTTTGATCACTTGGTTAAGGTTTCTGCACTGAAAAGTTACTACTTACTAATTCATAAGTGATTCCTGGGGAGTCACTTTGAAATTATATAAATGCCCTGTGCTCCACTGAGCTTTCCTCCGCTACTTGTGGCATGCACTTTCTCTAGATTTTTCCCTAAATTAAAAAAAAAAACAAAAAAAAACTTGTGGAATGCACTGATGGCCCCTCACTAAATTGGTGATTGCTATGGAGGTTGCAAAGGGTGATTTTCTAACTCCATTGCTCCACATTTATTAGCTAGCAGTCAACTGGCAGGAAGGGCTGTTCCTTCTCTCCCATTTATTTGTTTACTCATTTATCTATTTCTATAAGTATAGATTTACTTTATTCCATGAATATCATGTTACAGTCATTATCGCCATGCTCAGATTGTTCCGATTTGGCCATTGGCACCTTTTCAAGCTGGCTGTGTGACCCTTTGTTATATCCTCACCATAGTTTAGGCACTTCCAGGCTTACACAAGGGAGAATAAGGAAGCAGATGCCCTGGCTCATCTTGTACCTTCCCTGCTGCACCCCTGGAAATGGCCATTTCTCCAAGGAGCCTTGAGTCCTGTTGGTGGGGAATGGTTTTTAGAAACCAAGATCTGAGTCCTAGGGGCACTCATGGCTACTGGGGTGCGACTAGGCCTCCTCGGGGGACAGACCTAAGAAACACACCCACATGCTTACCTGTATGTATAAATACAGATATACATGTGTTAATATATATCTGTACACACATATACACATATATGTCAACATTGATTCTTCTGTCCATGTCTACCTATTGATCGATCTAGCTATGAGACAATTCTAATCCAACAGTGCAGAGTTCATTCCTATCTTCTCCTTTTCTGTACTCGTAAATCCCCTCTCCAATACTGAGAAATATAGTTTCGGAATTCCCATATCCCTGTAAAAAAAAGTAAGCCTTCTCAGTGGAGTTCGACATTGGATGCGGCTCTTTCTGTCTTCAGTCTGAGCGTGCATGACGTAGGAATTGTGTTCAAGCTATTTGCATTCTTTCTCATCCCTCTGCCCTTTAACACCATTATTGCAAAATACAGGTATCTTGGTTTGTTTCAGTTTGCATTTTGTTTTTGGGCTCCCCCGGCCACAGACCCTTGCTGATTTTGTTGTTGTTGTTGTTTTGAGTATGTAAAACATTAACATGTTTGCGGAAGTCAAAACTCTACAAAGTGGTCTACTCAGAAAAGTGTCCCGACTTTCCCTGCCCTCGTTGCCACCCAGCCCCCACAGGTGACCAATCTTGTTAGTTCATGTTCTTTTCTTTTTCTTTCTGTGTTTACTTTTGCACAAATGGGCAGATCTGCGAACTTTTTCTTATTTCCCCTTGCTCCTTACACAAAAGGTAGCATACTAGAGATTTCTTTCTGTACTTTGCTTTTTTTCACATGGCAACAAATCCCGGAAATAATTTTCTGTCAGTCCCCAGACCTCTTCCTCATTCCTTTCCCCAGTTGCAGCACATTCCTATGGCAGTTAGGGCATGTGCAATATTTTGCAGTTACAAACAGTGCTGCAATGCATCTACGCATCTGTATTTTGCATTATTGGGGAACAGGTATCTTTCTTTTTTTTTTTAAGAAAAGCAGGTTTTTGCTTTTGAACCCTTAAGATCAGGTTTTTAGTTGAGCAACAGAGGCGGCACGATGTGACAGGACGCTCACCCTAGGCGTGGGAGACTGTCGCGGCTCAGATATGCCGTGGGAGGCACTGGCTGTGTGACTTTGGGAAAGTCACTTCGCTTTTCTGGTCTCAATTTTCAACTATGTAAAATTAAGGTACTAACCCTCTCCTCTGCTGTTGTAAAGACTAAATAAAATAGTGGGCAGGAATGTTTGCAGTGGGGCAGCTGGCATCTGGGAGAGTTCAATACATGTTAATAATGGTCATTGTTCCTCTTTATCCACCAAATTCTCTATGATTCAGTTGGACAAGGCCTTTTTAATCCACACATCTGGTTTCTCCCCTTGCCTTTTATTGCATGTTCTTGCTCTTTCCACTTCACTCTGTGAAACGATGCCATAAGTAACCCACAATTGTGACAGTCGTGCTAACAGGAACATGCTCACCAACTTCCATGCACACAACGCAGTACTTTATTGAGTACACAAGTCTAGTTCCAGGCCCTGGGGACATGCAGGGACCAGACAGAGCCGACATTTTAGTCGGGAAGCTGACAAGGGAAAAATGAACCATTATGTGATGCGTCCGCGGGGGCTGAGGGCTGTGGGGAAACCCAAAGCCAGCCAAGGAGAAAGAGGTGACGGAGGGAGATGTTTGAGCCAAGCAGGTCGAGGGAGGCTGTTCTGAAGAGGTGGCATTTCGACCAAGACCTGCACAGAGCAAAGAAGGGAGGGGCCGGGGGACTGCCTGCAGGGAAGCGCGTCCCAGGCATAGGGAACGGCATGTTCAAGGGCCCTGAGGAGGGGCAGGCTCAGTGTGTGGGTGGCAGAACAGCAAGCAACCTTGTGTCTCTTGGCGTGGGATTGGAGAAGTCGAGGGGGAGAGACTGGGCTGGGCCTTGCAGGCGAGTAATGGCTTTGGCTTTTACTCAGAGGGAGATGGGAGCCATGCAGGGTTTTATACAGAAGAGTGACTTGATGTGAATCTGATTCTCACCGGCTCCCTTCGGCAGCTTCGTAGTGTTGACATTCCAGCATGGTACACAGAAGGCACTGAGGAACCCCGGGAAGAACGCTGCCCTCTAACCCGGCCGCTCTCAGGGCCTACACTGAACCCTCCCAAAGGCCAGTCTATGCCAGCTGTTCCCACAAAACCTGCCCAGCTCCCTCTCACATCCGCTGGGTGCCGCCCCTCCCTTCCCGGGGACAGGGAAGTAGAGTAGATCGTCATGACTCAGGGACGCCGAGTTTGCAAATTCACCTGCTCACTAAAATGCATTTGCAACCCAAATTCAATACTTGCAGGCTTTAGTGGACATGCAGAGAGTGGCGGATAATTTGAGTCACCTCAAGTGCATGTTCCCAGCTGAGGTCCCGGCTCGGCCTTCTACAGCTTTCACACTGTAAACAGGTGTCTGTTTCTCGCGGTCTGTTTAATGCCACATTTTCCGCATATTTGTGCACCTTGTTGGTGATTTCACCGTCTAAGTGGCCCCCAAGCACAGAGCCGAAGTGCTTCGTGTTCCAGCAAGCGCGTGTGTTAGGTGAGCTTCACTCGGGCGCGAATTGTGCTGTTGGCTGTGTGTTCAGTGTTAATGAAGCAACAGTATACGTTAACTAAGACGTCTTTAGACAGAAACACACATGAGACTTGTGCATGTGGCAATGGGGCGATGACTGTTGTGATGACAGGCTTGCAGAAACCCAACCCTGCGTTTCCCCCAGGAGCGATGTCTCGGGATTTGCTGACTCAGGGTTTGCAGAGAACGAAATTGCTGCAGATCCGAGCTGCGACTACTTATGTCTGAAAACTGGCACTGGGTCTCCCTGTCCTCTCTCCCCGCTCCCGCCAAGAAGAACAAGGCTCAGGAAATCCGTGCTCGTAGCTGTCATCCCACCCCTCTGGGTGGATTAGGTGAGGGTCAGCTGGGACCCTGCAGGGCTGTCCCGAGAGCAAGGCATTGGACCCCATTCCTGACGGTGTCTGTGTGCCTGGCGGGAGGAGGCTGAGGCACAGGAGGGGGGAGGGGAGGAGAAGGGGCGGAGCTAATGGGTTTTGCAGCGCAGAGAGGCTGGGACTGGGGCAGAAAGGCAGGGGCCCATCAAGGGAGAGACACTGTCTGAGAACCAGGACCCCGTGTGGGATTCTGTGCTGTGCTGTGCAATCCCCCACCTTTACAGAGGAGGGACCCGAGGCCCCCAAAACATGAAGTGCTCAGACCTCTGGCTTGGCCACTCCAAAAGGCGGATGGCGAGGTCCTATGCATGTCACTTGCTCCAGGGGCAACTGTTTTATCCTAATTACAGGGAAGATAACATCATCTGAAAATGAGGATAAATTTCCTGAACCTGGAAATGTCCCAGAGGCCAGCTCAGTGTTTCAAAGCAGAGACAGACAGCCGTTAGCGATCAGCAAAGGTCCGAAGTCAGTTCTTTTGTGTCATTTTAGCACCACGCTGAGCCTTCCTGTGCACTGTCACGCCGTGAATTATGGACTCGAATAACACAGGGACAGTGCCCGGCTGGCATGTAAGAGGCCTCTGATGAATCGCGTTTGTGTTCTCCCGGGGGAGCCCCAGCCAGGAAATGCAAATCCTGAGCAATTAATATCAATATGCACAATTTAAACCCATTGCCTCTGATTAGATAAGCAGCCAGGAACGGCTTCATTTTTAAACATATAAGTTTTGCTGGAATGTGATGAATGAATTTGCCAGTTCATTGTCTGAGCCCGAGGATTGCAGGAGAAGCTCATTTGTTCTTGAGCCAAACCACTCATCACATGGTTGTAGAGTGAAAAATTCCCCGTAGGAGGCTGGGACTCTGTTCGATGGAAAATTCTATCCTTGTTTAGAGAAACAGGGAGGTACATTGCGTCAGATCTGGGTTGTACTTCTGCCTCTGCCACTTCCGGGTACCCTTGAACATGTCACTCCCCCCACTCTGGGCCTCTGTTCCACTAGCTGTCAGAGCCAAAATAATCCCAGACCTTTCCATGCCACTGGAGCATTGCCAGCATGCACGAACATAATGGCCACGATGCTGCCTTGTGATCGGTAAGATCTGGGGTGCTGGGCTCAGAGGTGTGGGTTTGAATTCCACTTCCTAGCTGTGTGGCCTTGGGAAAGTTACTTTCCTCCTCTGGACTTCCATATCTTCATGTGGAAATGAGAGTGAACGATAAGACCTACTTATGAGGATTGGGTCAGATGTTTGGGGACAGCCTAGCTAGGTCATCAAGGTGCCAGGCAGACCAGGGTCTCATCTGAAGTCCCTTTTTTTTTTAACAGACAGAATCTTGCTCTGTTGCCCAGAATGGACTGCAGTAGTGTCATCATAGCTCACTGTAGCCTCAAATTCCTGGGCTCAAGCAATTCTCCTGTCTCAGCCTTCTCAGTAGCTAGGGCCACAGAAGCGCGCCACCACACCTGGCTAAGTTTTTTATTTTTACTTTCTGTAGACATAGGGTCTCAGTATGTTGCTCTGGCTGGTCTTGAACTCCTGGGCTCAAGTGACCTCCTTGGCCTCCCAAAGCGCTGGGATTACAGGTGTGAGCCACTGTGCCCGGCCTCATCTCAAGTCTTGACGGGGAAGGGCCCGCTTCCAAGATCACGTGGTTGTTGGTGGAATTCAGATCCTTGAGGGGTAGGACTGGGAGCCGCGGCGCCTAGCTAGCTGCCGGCCTCGGGTGCTTGCCACGTGGGCCTCCCTCCGTGGCTGCCTGCTTCATCACAGTCGGCAGGGGCCAGTCTCCTGGCGAGACAAGGATCACCATCCTACGTGACATTCACACAGGCGATGTCCCTTGGTGTACTCCATGGCTAAAAGCAAGTCACCCGTCCCACTTGTGTGTCACACAGGTGACACACAAGCATGAGAACCAGGAAGGGGGATTATGGGGGCCACCAAAGGGTGGCTGCAAAGGACAGAGGGCCTGACACACATGGACACTCAGTAACTAGTGCTGGTGACTGTGATGGTGATGATGGGAAGTGACACTACAGCAGAAGGAGAAGGAAAGCGCTTTGGGTCCTTTTTCATCTGGGCATCTTATTTCTGATGCCATATATTAAAATGCCCTTTGGAATTTGCTACCTGTGCGACCTCAGACAAGTTGTTCAACCTCTCTTTTTTTTCTTTTTTTTTTTTTGAGACAGAGTCTTGCTTTGTTGCACAGGCTAGAGTGAGTGCCGTGGTGTCAGCCTAGCTCACAGCAACCTCAATCTCCTGAGCTCAAGCAATCCTACTGCCTCAGCCTCCCGAGTGGCTGGGACTACAGGCATGAGCCACCATGCCCAGCTAATTTTTTCTATATATATTAGTTGGCCAATTAATTTCTTTCTATTTATAGTAGAGACAGGGTCTCACTCTTGCTCAGGCTGGTTTCGAACTACTGACCTCGAGCAATCCACCCGCCTCGGCCTCCCAGAGTGCTAGGATTACAGGCGTGAGCCACCGCGCCCGGCCTGCTCAACCTCTCTGAGCCTCAGTTTCCTCATCTATACGATGCAGACAGCAAGACCCACTCAGTACATTGTTCTGCTCATTCGGGGAGATGCTGTGCGCCAAGCGCTCGGCCCTGCGCTTGGTCTAGGAAAAGCCCTGGGAAATCAGTGGCCAAAGGTTCTCCGTAGATGAGACTCCCTGCCCCCCAGAGTGCTGGTGACGCGAGCGGACGCCGCTGTCTTGCAGGCGCATGCTCAGGAGCAACAACAAGCCCAAGGAGGAGAAGAGCGTGCTCATCCTTCCGCCCCGGGCGGGCACCCCGAAGCTCTTCAGCGCTGCCCTCGCTGTGACCGGAAAGGCGGGGGGCAAAGGAGGCAAGCTGGCCCACCTGCGGGCGCGGCTCAAAGAGCTGGCCGCGCTGGAGGCGGCCGCCAAGCAGCAAGAGTTGCTGGAACAGGTAATGCGACCGGGCCCAGCCACCCCGCCACGCCAGGCACACGCGGGCCAGGGACAAGGCCGAGGGGCCTGGGAGAGCGGACCACACATTTAGGGTCAGGGGCTTTTCTCCCCTCCTTTCTAAGGGGACCCGTCTGGCTGCCAGTGATAGAGTGCAGGCTCACGGTAGCTTGCGACAACGGGGAATGGGGGGGGGTTATGTAATTGAAAAGTGCAGGCAAGATGGGTCCAGAAGCCCAGATGATGCCAGCCGGACTAGGTCCCCATTCTGTCATCTCCGCCTTCTTCGGCGATGGCTCCGTTTCCAGACAGGCCCCGAGAGTTCGAGGATTGTATCCTCTTGCTGTAGTGGCTCCAACAGAAAGCGCTCTTTCCCGGGGACTCTAGCCAAAGTCCCAGGACTCACCACTGCCACTGGCCCACACTGGCTCGCGTGCCAGGTCCTGAGCCATTCCATGTGGCCAGGGGGCCGCGGTGCTCTGCCAGGCCGGGGTCACATGCCCGCCCCCGAGTGAGCCTGGGGGAGGATCTCTACAGCAAAGCCCTCCTGCTGTTGCAGGGGAGGAAGGGGAAGGTCCCTCTCCAGATGACAGTGACGTTCTCATGGTTCATATTGTGTCTGGGACAGTTTGAAATCTTTGAAAGGAAAAGCCTCGGAGACAGGCACAGTGCCAACTGCCTCCGCCCCCGGAAATCCAAAGGGAACACTAAAATTAGTTCTGGGAGGTTTTTTTCTGTGACTAAAGCCAAGAATGCCAATTAGAACGATTACACTAATTATGGCTGATCACGACTGTCCTTTAGGAAGGCTGCTGGGAAAGGGAGAGGGACCGGGGTCAGGTGGGGCTCCGTGGCAGGACTCTTTGGGGGAGGGCAGCAGTCCACGTGACAGAGTTCAAAGGGGCGCGACAAACTCCGTGTCAATCCAGGCTGGTGTTAGAGTCCAGGGCACCCATCCAGAGGTCGTTTGACAACAGGAGTCTAGTGGGTGACATCAAAGCCACGTAGGGTTCCAAGGCACTCTCCAGAGAACAGCTACCAGTGGCCCCAGATTGAGGAAGTTGCCGCGTGGGCTTGTAAAGATCAAGCAGGAAACCGTGGACGGTTTTTGTCACATTATCTGGAATGCGGCAAAGCCCTTTGCTCGCCTGCCCACGAAGGTCCCGTTCTGGTGCATTCATGGCGTGAGGCTTCAGGAAGTGTCACGGTGGCCACCGCCTGAGCGTCTTGCCCTGGAAGTGCCACGTCAGAGTTTAGGGTGGGCAGAGGGGGGTGGGACAGGTGCACCAGAACCTGTAGAAACACAGAGACAGAGCGAGCAGCAGGTCCCCCGGCTGCCTTGAGTTCTAAGAACACCTCTGTCCCCTCTCCGTTCCCTTCCTTCAGCACCCTGTGACTTGAGCAAACTTGGGGGGGGCGTCTCTATTCCTCAAAAGCACACTGGCTGCTCTCACTTTAAATTCACTTCCGCCACCTCACGTGGGCCCCAGGTGGCTGAGGACCACGCTGGACCCTGCTCTGGGAGCTGCCCCCTCTCCGGTCTCTGTCATGCAGAGATGGTGTCGCACAGAGCACGGGGCGCGGGGGTGGGGGCACAGGTGCTCACAGAGGCTTGGGTTTGTCCCCAGTTCCCTGCCGACACACAGACGGTGGCCAGCATCTATGGCAGACAGCACAGGCCAGAGGCTGGAGGTCCCCACCAAGTCCCCAAACACGGGTCAGCTCAGCCCAGGGCCAGTGGCACCCAGCCCCCGTCTTCCCCTGAGGGTCTCAACCTTGGAGACCTTCCAGAAAGGTGGCCGCCTGGCCCCTGCCCTCGTCAGCCTTTACTTTGTTTGCCTGGAGTTTCGCCGTCACCTCTGGGAGCACCGTTCCCGGTAAGGGGCGGGCAGGACGTTTAGGCCTGTGCAGAGGCCTGGTGGCAGCTCCCTGGGGGTCACCGCCTTCCTCAACAGGGGCAGGGCTTTGCCCTTGAGCTGGGTGCTTCACTGGCCGTCCGGCCCGAGACAGAGATCTAGAACATGCCCGAGACCCTCCACGCAGTCCCACCTGGACGTCTACTCCTTGCGTCCCTGTGGCCTGTGCTGTCTCTGCCAAATAGCCCCATGCGGCCCAGGCCGATCCGCTGGATCCCACCCCTGCGCACCTGGCTGTCTTCCTGCCGGGCGGGGCTGGGGAGAGAGGGCGGGAACAAGAAGGTGTTCAACACCCCTTGGACCGACTGTGCCTTACTAGTCACCCTTTCCGGATTCCAGGCCAAGAGAGCTCAGGAGGCCGGCTCGGCCGCCCCGGACCAGCCGGCACCTGGGGACCAGCCTGCACCCCCAGAGGAGGCCGCCCCAGACCAGCCCGTGCCCCTAGACCAGCCCGCGCCTGCAGAGGAGGCCGTCTCCAGCCAGCCTGCACCCCCAGACCAGCCTGCGCCCCCAGAGGAGGCCGCCCCCGGCCAGCCCTCTTCCCCGGAGCCCCTGGATCCCCCTGCCCAAGGCTCTCCGCCGCCTGCGTCCCCCGGGAGTCCCCAGGGAGGTGAGGAAGGGGCGGCCAAGCCAGAGGAGCACTCGGTGCGGATCCGCATGAGCCCGGGCCCGGAGCCCGGCGAGCAGATCCTGTCGGTGGAGATGTCAGAGGAGAAGAAGAAGGACGAGGCGGAGTGAGGCGGCCACAGCGCTGCCCGGTGGTGGCCCCAGCGGCTCGCAGTCAGCCGCCGCGACACGCCTGCCCCGACCTCGGCCCCTGCGAGGCTGGTCATGTAACCAACACGCTTCATCCAGTGTTCGGTCCCTAAGCTCCCAGCATCACTTGAGCTCCCCACCTCCCCCTGACTGTTACCATTTTTAAGAACAAAATTATTTTCCACGTTTTTCCGTAGGCATGGATGGAACGGCTCCAGCAGGGTGGGGGGCTGGGTGGAGCCGGGGTGAAGTCAAGGGTTATGGAACGTGGGGGTTCCCTCGGGAATCTTTCTCCCACATTTCAAGGACAGAAAACACCTAGCAAAAAGGAGGTAGCCGTGCTGCTGGACTAGGCGGGAGCCACGGCAGTTGCCACCTGGGTCTGGGCGCTACTTCCCTTTGCTGGGTGGTGACAGTGACTCTGCTCACGAGGTGGTGAGTGCTCATGTCCCGCACACTCCGTTCACTTCGGAGACCGATGCCATTATCTCGGGACAGATAAAGTGGGGTGCACTCACTGGCAAGGGACTGGGAGCGTGCCGAGGGGAAGGGCAGCCTCTTAGCCGCGTCCTCCCTGCCTGTCACCCTGAGAAGCCCGTTAGCAGGAGTCAGCCTGTTACTTGCTTGTGACACCCTTGCTACAGAGTTGGTGCCAGCAACTTCGATTAACCCTAGAAAATGAAACCTCACAGCTGATGACAACACTTAAATTCCCCAAAGCTTTCCAGATCATCTCATGTTGCTTTTATGATTCCAAAAAAAAGAAAGAAAGAAAGAAAGAAAGAAAGAAAGAAAGAAAGAAAGAAAGAAAGAAAGAAAGAAAGAAAGAAAGAAAGAAAGAAAGAAAAGAAAACGGTCATTCCATGAATATTTATCAACAGGATTTTATTTGCATACTGAATGGCTCTTGGGGGAGCGAGTGATTAAACACGAAATCTAATAATCTAGTATTGGGGCGTTTGTTCCCACCCGGCAGCAATGAGCACAAAGGGTCTGGAATTCCAGTAGGTTCTGCCTGTTTTCTACAAAATTACATGTACTTGCCAGCTGCCCAGGGGCCTTGGAGGGCTTGCAAACGTGCATATTCGTCCATCAACTATAAACAACATTCATTTCCACTGTGAAAGAAATTAACCCCTGTGGGAATTCCAGGACTGGTCTAAGCATTTCCAAATCCTGGAGTCGCCAACAGATTTATCTAGTTGATGACTTCTCATGTGACTTGGGTAATCATCACGTTGAATATAATGACAATTGATATTATTATTTTGCCCTTTTAAAAAGCTACTTGAGTACAAGAGCACCACCCTCCCTGTTCCCCTCCCTTGAAACAACCACTGTTATCAGTTTCCTGTGTATTCTTTCAGAGATATCTTATGCTTACACAAGGAAATATATCAATTCTTCCTTTTTTTTTTTTTGTAACTGAAGTGGTTACACATCCTAGAGCCACTGTTATTTTTCACTTAATTTATTTTGGAGGTTGTACCCGAGCAGTACATAAAGACCATACTTATTTTTTCACGGCAGCAATCTAGTCCATTGCATGGATGCATCATGCCATTTAAGCCACTCTGCCACCGATGGGCATTTGTGTTGCTTCCAAGCTTATGCTGTTAAAAATAATGCTGGCCTGGCTCGGTGGCTCACACCTGTAATCCTAGCACTCTGGGAGGCCGAGGCGGGAGGATTGCAAGAAGTCAGGAGTTCGAGACCAGCCTGAGCAAGAGTGAGACCCCCCCCCCCAACCCCGTCTCTACTAAAAATAGAAAGAAATTAATGTAACAACTAAAAATATATAGAAAAAATTAGCCGGGCATGGTGGTGCATGCCTGTAGTCCCAGCTACTTGGGAGGCTGAGGCAGGAGGATCCCTTGAGCCCAGGAGTCTCAAGTTGCTGTGAGCTAGGCTGACGCCACGGCACTCTAGCCCGGGCAGCAGAGTGAGACTCTGTCTCAAAAAATAAAAAATCTATAAATGGGGGCATTCTGAGAGTTTAGGCAGATTGTTTTATCTGATGATCTCCATTCTTCATTTGCGTATTTCCCCCATGTATTCTAAGATCCAAGAATGGAGAGGGCTGCCATCTTTAGCAAGTGTTCCAGATATACTAATAAAGTAAACACATTGCCTTCCAGTAGATGGCAAAATGTTCCAACAGCACCTTCACTGTGAGATCCTACTCTACAAGGAATTTTTTTTATATGAATGTACTTATTCTTTTAGAAAGCAATTCTTGAACGTATACTGCTTATTATACAAAGCAAGAGCTGCTTGAGTTCCCCACGAATTGTCCTGGAAAGGAAATTGACTTTGAAATGAAATTAGCAGTCTCTTAATTTCACTGAGTTATCTCATTAAATGAAACACTTCTGCAAAACTTGGATATTAAGTAAATTGAATTTGAGGCTGGCATTATTCTCTAAATTGAATTGGACCATTTGGTCCCGAGGTATGAATGGTATAGCATGGAAGTACTGTCATTCCGCAGCTGAAGCAGGACCTTTATTCATGTACGGTGAATCTCTACCCAATTAAAATGTCCCAACATTTCCTGCATTTTGATAGAAAATGAATAGCAAGTTATTTTTTTAACTACATAAATATTTTAAATAATATGAAAACCTAGAAGCTGTTTAAAATTTCATTATCAAAGTGTGTTCAGCTACCTGGAATATTTTAATCTGTTTTCTTAGTAAATATGAACACTGTATTTACACTCTGGCTTTCATATTACAATGCATTTTAATTAAAGTCTTTAGACAAATGTTCCTGGCTTGCAGATTCATTTTAGAAACGGGCCACGGGTGACAGACATCTTTGTGAGAAAAACTAAGTGAATTTCCAGGCTCAGGCTTCCCAGCTAATGTCCTATGGACATCCTTGGGGCTGTCATCCACCCCACATCCCTGTTGCTGGAGTAATATCCTTATCAAACCTCCATGGCCTGCTAGGATTTTAAGCCCCTCAAATCCACAGTCCCCCCCTTTATTTAAATCTGGTCTCACCTACTGGTCTCACTAAGCCAGCTGCTCACAATTTCCCAACCCCACTTGGGCAACGCCGCAGAATGCTAACGAACATGGACTCTGGATTCAGACTTCCTGGCGACCAATCCCAGCTTGACCGCACACCATGACCACGGACCTCTCCCGAAGAACCGTACGATCCCACACTGGAATGGAAGGGAGGCAATGTTTATTGTGTTGCACAGGCCTCATCATGTAAGGAAACGCAATCAATACTACTAGTACAAGGCTATGATTTGCCACATACTGACACGAGCTAAGAGGAATAAGACAACCTCGCCATCCCCCGGTGCATACGTATCCTCTGTGTGCAGTAGAATCAGAACCCAAACATGAGGCCGGGCACCCCAGCCCTGCTCCATCGCCACTCTGACTCTGCCCAGTCGCGACGTACACACCACGAACAAGCACCACACAGCAGCCGACACACCAGCCGCAACCACACACACACGCCCACGAGTACGCGCGTTCAGAAATCCAGAGCTCGCAATCTATCCTGAGCCCAGCCCTGCCCTAACTCTGCGTAGAGCACAACTACAGAAGGGTAAGAGAAGCGCATACTCTACATCAATTATGCTTAATGATAAGAACACAGATTCCTTTGCCAACACCATTAAGTAGATACTAACTAACCAAAGCATGACAAAACACGAAACCGGTCTAGGGCCGCACACCATAGCCAGGTGCTCTGTGGCCATGCTGTGACACACTCGGCAAACAGACCCTGACTCTAGAGCGAGGCAGTGCTAGGAACGAGCTGCAAGCATCCACCATCGCGACGCAGCGTGCACCCCTCGCGCTTCCTACTATAAATCGACTGAAGAACAACACTAAAGATGGGACCCCATGATCGAAGATATATAGATAATATAGCCAGGCATGGTGGAATGCAAAGAAACACATCAGGACTAAAGCCAGAGCTATAACAGTCGACGGCAAAGCCGGGCTCCCTGCCACAGCCCACCGGCGATGGCAAGATCGCACGGAACCCTGCAGACCAGCGTTGTGACGGCTGATGAGCGTGTCTACAAGAGCTGCGCCCACCAAGGACATACGACTCTAGCGCTGCGGCAACAACCGCGAGACCCTGTCTTCAAGCAAACAGAAACAACTCTCTCCCAACGTAAACAAATAATCACCGACCTAAAAGAAAGGGACTCGCCCCAACAAGACTATGACTGTGCTGATAGAAAAAAAAAAAACAGGTGCGCAGCCATCCATGGGCCAGGCCACGAGCAGTATCTGGCCGGCACCTGGGGCCCAGCACGGCACACAGAGCCACACCGAACATGACCCGGCGTTTCACCAGCTTACATGATGAAGCGAGCGGACCGCCTAAGTTGTGTTGTTACACTTTTCATAATTTTAGTCCTGACACAAGCCGACAGACACGAGCAACAGGTCTTCGACGACTCTGTCACGCGCGGAGAGGACTTTCAAAAGAAAGAAGATACATTATACATCTCCTCTCTCATAATTAGAACAATTCGCGCCCCACAAAAAATAATGGCGCACGCTATAAATCGCGCCGGCTCACCGCTCTTCAGATAATCGAGCTCTCTGGACGGCCGGAGGCATAAAAACTAATAACAGAATGGCTTGGCAGGACGGCATCATCGAAGCACCCTGAATGCGAGACGGGCGCAACCAGACCCCACACCGTCTTCCGACGATAAGAATAGACCGAATGTAAGGCAACGCAAAGCCAGAAAACCAGTCGAGCAGACACCTATAGAAACATTAGCACAGACAATAATAAAGTATAGTTGCTTAAATGGCCGTGATCAAGTTCTTAGAAAATCGAATATATAAACTACATCGGAGCGGACTGACATGCGAGCAGGACTTGCGCTGCCGATGCCCAGGAGGTTTGAGGTTGCGTGAACCATGGTAGCTCGCACGACACCGGCACCCGACTTCGAGTGCATGCACCCAAACAACGAGCGACAGTAAGGAACTCGCTGCTCGCCGCTAGAATAAAAGGATCTTGTGCAAAACATCAGATGATCCTCTGTGCGCCACCCCCTCACACACACAACACACACCACCAGCACAAGAGAAATACGGCATACACAATATGACATAAGATAGCCAAATGACGACAAGAAAAAGTAAATGTTTCTTCTGCGACAACATAAAGGAGCGTAATGCAAGATGGACTATTCGCCCTTCAAGACTCTGAAGGCAAGAACGAACTGGAGTATCCTCACTTGGTAACAGATCAGAACATTAGCAAACACAAACATCGATAACTCTTACCAATCACACCCTCAACACACCATAATACCAAACACGCACATGCAACAAGAATAAGGGAACGTCTGCCAGGAGCTATGTCTATGGCTCACCCATGTCTAGCTTCATCATAACAGATCCTCAAGGCCGCAGTATCTTCACATGTTCTTGGATACATGGAGCACGCTTTATTGCATGTAAAATACCTGACGGTTATCAGGCTGCGTCTTCCAGCCCCTGGGTCTTACCCTAGGAACCTAGGCCCAGCTGTGGCATTTGGAGGCAGTGAAGCTTTATTATCCTCAGATGAAAGCAATTTGCTGGCTCACACTGATTATCAAGGTAAGTGAAGATCTCAGGAAACTGGGCTCCACCTTTCACATTTCCAAATTTCTGAAACCAAAAAGTTTGTTTGCTCCTTAAAG